TAAATACGAAATTGAAGTAAATTTATTAAAAGTACATTAAACGTTCTGTTTGGTTTATTCGAATCGTTATTTAAGTTTTGTTGATTCTTGCATTTAAAATTTAAAGTTTTGGATATGTGCCCAATCATATAATATCATACTATGTATAAGATTAACCGATTTTATGAGTCTATCTATTGCACAAACATATTAAATGTATTAAATCTATTTTAAAACTATAGACTGTAAAGCAAAAGCAAATTGTTGCTACGAAGGAAATAATTCGATTTTTAAGGAAAAGTTTAAGTATTTTACTCATATACCTCAAAGAACAAAAATCGACCCATGTAGTAGATGCATTTAAGTCATATATGTAGCTCTAAATATCTACAGAACATATATTTTAGTGCACAGCTAAAACCTATTACAAATAATTCTAAATGCATTTCCGGATACTAGAATTGCAACGAATATTTAATTCTTTTTATCGTACCACCTAAAACGATCCAACATACTTGAAATTAAATTTTTTAAATAGATATTAAATTTTGTGTATGAATTTATGTCTCATCTTAAATTTTAGAAAATAATTCTAAATTTAATAGAGTTTTATGAACATCTTTGATTTATTTCTATTTTAAATTTGTAGTGACGTAAATATCGTTACCTCGCAATCAAGAATAGTTTTGTAATAACTCATATTAATGTCAGCAAAAAACACTTTACTATTTTGTATTTCATATTTGTGTTAATAATTGAAATTGATGATTGTTATTCAATAAAAATTTTTTCGAATAACATTTGTTATAACTTTTGACAATTTTCCACAGTACACTGACACAGTTATTCTCAAATATCGAATAATTGTTACTAATCAATATGAGATTACCCAATAAAAATATCATACAAGAAAAAAAATGCTTCTTACAATTATTCAAATTTGCGAATCCACTATCATTTCTCTCTGAAAAATTATTTTTTGTATAACTTGAACTGTTTTATTTTAACAATTTTATCGGAGACAAAATTTATAGGATTCAAATTATAGGATTTAACTTTACAATATTTTTACGTTACCAGTAAAATATTTTTATTTTTATTTATAGTCATTTTAATTTATCCAAGATACATAAAAGGAATTCACTTGTTTTTTTCTTGTTTCCATATAATTACAATCTGCCTGGTAAGGCATTCAGTAATTTTGGTGACAAATGTGATAATATAAGATTTTAAAATGCTACCCTGTGGTAGTCATTTTAGGGTTGAAAATGGATGAATTAATAGAACAGTAATTACTTTACATCATATGTTATTTTTTAAATTTAGAGTAGGTTCTTTTAAGTCTTTTGGATATATTTGATGAGAACAAGTCTTTGGAGAGTTGGTTCGGATGATCCTCTAGTTTGGTTTTGTGAATTTATTTGGTTAATTTATTTTTTGTAATAGATATATTTGAAATATTTAATTATATTTCTATATCATAATCTTTTTTCAAATTCACGAGTTTTTACGTCGTTTATGTAATTTCTCTCAATTTTGGCACGGTGTTTTTATTTGGATTGGAAGCAAATACCGAGACGAATTGTGCATGCGAATTGAAACAAAATTGTGAATACGAGTGGCGTCAAACATTTCTTAATATATTGTGGTAATAATATAGAAACAAATTTAGAATTTCTTTATAGTTGTTTACTAGTGTTTTTAATGATCACAAAATTATCAACGTTAATAATTTTTAATATAAAATACAGGTATACTTTGTATAATTTGTAAAACTATACATTCAAATTAAATTAGAATCAAAAAAGTGAAAAAGCAATAGTTTATTGGATAATATACAGAAATATAAAAAATATTGATTAAATACATTTTCATTTTCAAAAAAATGAAAAAAACTTGTTTTTCCACCAGTTTACAAACATTTTACGAATTCTAATTATCGTATGTGTTTATAATTTGAATATATTTTCACGTAATATAATACTGTACGTTATCGGTTTTTCTTTGTTTTAAAGATTTTTGTTTCATTTATAAATTTTAATGGATATTTTTTTTCCAATTTTTAAAAAAAAGTTCAAGTCTCTTTGAGATATAAAATCCTAAATGTATATTGAAATTCTAACGATTAAATATTAAATTTATAAATATATAATTCTATCCATGGTAAAAATAATCGCCAAAAAAACTATAACATCGTGCGCTAAAGGTAGTATCAGTAAAAGTTGTAAGCACTATTAGGTTAAATTATATTTCAGAAAGTATATTGTAGAGAAAGTATAGTAAATTTTCTATAAATACTTTTTATTAATTTATATTTTGAATGCATCATTCATTAAATCTAAATATATGGTAATATATTATGTAGTATCAGGAAGAGTTGTAGTAACATCAGCAGCATCAATGCACTACCAGATCAGATTAAATTTTAATCAATAATATAAATTTTTACTAAATATTTTTTTATTAATTTATATTTTGCAATGCATTATTCATTAAATCTGAAATAGTTTAATATATTATGTAGTATCATCAGTAAGAGTTGTAGTAACATATCAGCTCAGCATAGATGCACTACTGGATCAGATCATATTTTACTAATACATACAATATTAAAAATGTACTAAATATTTTTGTTAATTAATATTTTGAATGCATTTTTTCTAAATCTAAATAAATGTTATGCAAACCTTAATATTTAATATAGTACAGCAGTACTCTTTCAAACTGACTCTAAATTTTATTGAAATATGCATGAAGATTGTTCTATTGCTTCACTAAATGTTTGGCTAATTAAATATTTATAATTCTCAAAAATATATAGTCAAATTGATTATTCTCAAAAATGACATGATAACAGAAACGTTGATGTTAAAATTTTAAAATCATTCCAATTTTTTTGAGAGTAGAGTAATTTTTAAGACGAGTATAAGAATGGATTAGTGGGGCGCATGGCATCTAGCCTTAAGGCTATTATTATTTTTTTAAAAACGATTAACATTTTTGAAAAAAATTTACTTCAAAAAAATTAGATTTTTGAGAAAATTTTTGAGGAATTTGACAAAAAATTACTTTTTTTTATTTATCTTGACATATTTTGGAAATTCTGAACTTTTTTTCAAAGCAATCGTACTGCTTTAACTGCATAGAGACAAAATGTCAAAGCGCGTAAGCGCCGCGTTGCAAACAAAAATGCAAACAAAAATTATACTTATTGTTAAAATCTCTGTAAAGTATCTGATAATTTGATGTGCATATGTCTAACGATCATTTTTGACCGCCAAATGGCATTTTTTTTTTACTTTTTTCATTTTCGCTAGACCTGCCTTTATGAAAATTTGATCAGTTCTTCATCTTGTCGATACAAGTAAAATGTTTTTTGAATTATTAAAATCGGACGCTCCGTTTTCTTAAAAACTGAGTTACCGTTTTTGGCACTTTTTGCCCCGTATCTTCGGAACGGCTAGACCTGCCTTTGCCAAAAACTAATCAGCACGTCTCCTTATCAATATGAATCGAATGTTTTTAGAATTATTTCCGAAATCGTCGACGAAAATTTGTATCCGCACAAACACACACGCACACACACATACATCCATTTTTTCTAAGGTATGCCAAAATGTTCAGAAACCTTTGAAACGTAAAGATATATAAGTTAATAAAGTTAATAAAGTTCAATACACGCTTGCAAAAGTCCTAGATGATTTTGTGAACACGCTTTAAAATTGATGAATGATTTAAAAGACATGCAGCATTGTTTTGGCGGTAGGATTAGATTTGAGGTAATTAATCAGACGTGGCCGATACCGAATCTTAAAATCACAAATTTTGTTATAAATGCATCAGCCAGTGGCGTCCAGGCCCGCATTACCCCGTTCGACAAGGCGAGGGTTTAGTGGTCTAAAATTAGCCGCGCGCTCCTGAATTTCGGTTGTGCCATCGTTTGCTTATCCTTGCCAAATAATTAGGAAAGTCGCTTCGCTCTTTTCTGATGTGTTGCTAAAAGTGTCCGCTCTGGCGGGGTACCTACCGGTTGCGCGGGCACCCAGTTCTTTGGCAGCCCGTACCATTGGCGGGATTAGTTTGTGATTTTAGTTTGAACGGTTTAGTTCTTGTTGCTACTTACGTTGCTATTGGTGGACAAATCGACATAATACGAGTAAGTTTTTGCAATAATAATAAAAATACAAAGTAAATTCAAAATATTATTAATAATATTTTTAATTTTGCTGAAAATTGTTTTTCAAATATTTGGAATTTTGTCTGGATTTGTGTTGCGGATTGTGAACTACAATAAAGGAAAGTTAAAACACACGTGAAACTACAAACAAATATTACAAACAACGTTTGGTATAAAATATTGTGCATAAATTATTATTAAATATAAATTGGCAAAATAAAATAAATATTTCAATCCGGTATTGCATAATCATAAAGTAGATTCTGCTGGCTTAGTTTAAAAATACCGCACGCCTTCTTATACGCGATGCCAACAAAAAATTATGATCATAGACCAATAGCAAAATTCCACATATGAATTCATAAAGCGCGCCGAATTTCAAAATAAATTTCTTTGATGTTCGGCTTTTGATTTACGTTTTCAACCAATGAATTTTTATTTTATTTATTAAGCCTTTGGAGAGATTTTTACCTATTCACAATATAAATACTAAATATTTCTTTATGATTTTATTTGCAGTATCATAAATTTCTTTTTCTAATGTTGGCTATAGTAGTATGAGATCGCAGTTCGTGCGTCGGTCTATTCTTCGGTTCGGTAGCGTTGCCAGGCATTTCAGTTCACTGTTGTCATTGGCTAGTGAGATTCAGAATATCTAAATGTGTAGAATCAGACAATGACGTATAAAATTACACAAAAAGAATTTATTTTATGATATTCATTTATCGAAATCGCTAGTTTCTATTTTAGATTATAAGATAATATTCTTGGTGTTAATTATTGCAATTAGTGTTAACCTGCATGTGTACACGTAGATAACGTAAGTTCAGTGATTTTAGTGAAAAGTTGAGTGTATGAAACCGTTATTTTTTGCAACGTAATTGGAAATAATGTTCTTTTCGAGTTAAATTTACTTGAAAGCTCAGTAAATAAATAATAAATAGCAGGACTATTTATAATTATCTCGTGTGTAGATGCCGGATATATTGCATTTCATGTGGATTAGATATTAATTATATGTACGTTGTCTTGTTGCACAACAGTTTTGTCGTTTAGGTAAAAAAAAATAATGAAATATATCATATTCCATCAATCCAATTATTTATAATGCCGGAAATTATACATTTCATGTTCGTGGTTTTTATTAATTCAATTAAACTTGTGCCACATTTTGGGTTATGCTTGGTTAGAATCATCTGCAGTCCCTAACTTTATACATAACCAAACATAAATCAATTACAGATTATATATTTCACAGCATTTATTTTAACTCAATCAGGCTTATATTTAATATAAATATACCACTCGATATCCCTTCTAGATAACCTAAAATACAAATTCATCTCTCAAGCATTTTATAAACTATCGGTGGAATAAATATTTTATTCAAGCTTCTCATATTATATTCTATTTCAGCCGCCAAGAGCGTAAGAAGCAATCATGGAGGACGCACATGCGAAATCCGTGGACGAAGTCTTAGGATATTTCAGTACAGATCCTGAAAGGGGATTGTCTACTGATCAAATTAAAAGGAATCAAGCTAAATATGGACCTAATGGTGAGATTTTACGAATGCTTATTTACCACAGTTTTAGTATCTTATTAAGAACTAATCGAAGGTTGTTTTAAAATGTATTTGACGGTTGTTGTAAAATGTATTTAAGGTTAATTTTGCTTTCGTGAGTATATAAGTTAAAGAGGTATTAGTATTCGGTACAATTGTTATTGTACAGGCTATTATAGCGATATTAATTTTCTATTTACAAACATTACATTATTGAAAATGTTGATAATGTAAAACCAATAGTATTGGATAACCTATTTTTTTCTGAGACTCTTTCAAACCTTACGTTAATTACATCTCGTAATGAACAAATTAAATTGGTAATAATATACTCATTCATATTGCAAAATAGTAATAGGAAATAATTTATTAGTTCTATTAGTTCAATATTACTATCAGAAAACATTAAACATCATTAATTGTTGCAGATTAGTGCATGTGAATTGAAATCTCAATTAAACTTCATTCAGATTAAAGTTCTCTTTACTTTAGTAATTTGCCACACTTGGGAAATGTTATTCATAACAACTTCTGATATAGCATAGTTTTACTTTTAGATTTTCTCTGATCTGAGTAATAGGAAATAATCTATTAGTTCTATTAGTTCAATATTACTATCAGAAAATATTCAACATCATTAATTGTTGCAGATTAGTGCATGTGAATTGAAATCTCAATTAAACTTCGTTCAGATTAAAGTTCTCTTTACTTTAGTAATTTGCCACACTTGGAAAATGTTATTTATAACAACTTCTGATATAGCATAGTTTTACTTTTAGATTTTCTGTGATCAGATTGTTTGCGTTTATAATTCAAGACTTGAGACTTCCTGAAGCTCATTTACCTTTTTACATTTTATCTTCAAAATTTTAGTTTCATTATTGAAATTCTTACATTTTTATTGTCTATCCTGCATTATGGATAACGTTTAGAAATGATTTTAAGTTGTTGTTTGTTATTCGTTCTCTTTCATAGTGCCAACTAATCTTGCATTACGGTATTTTTTATAGTTTTAATTTAATGTATTTTTCTTAGTTATGGTAATCATTGAACTAGACCTTGAAGTAGCATTAGTTTTATATACATTAGATATTTTATGAGAATATAATCTTTTAATAAACCAAAGTTTATAACTGGACCTTAACGGATTGATTCATGATCAATCTCAGTGAGTTTGAAATAAGTAAGGGCTATCACAAGTTTGTGAGACAAATTTCTTCTGTGAACAGTAAATGATACCTGTAGCCTCTTATTGTTTCAATAATGTGTTGGTTTGAGTTCTCATCTTTTTCTACATTAGTTTGGAAGTATATTACTCTTCTACTCAACTGTTTTCAGAGTACATGTCTTCATTGTATCTATGTCAATCTTATTTCAAATCGTGTTCATTTCGGGTTCTTGTGCGGTTTGGCGCACCACGTGCTGCTGCTCGTTTTGTAATAACAAACAATAGAACGATATCGCATTAGCATTGACGTCATAATGTGCGGCCAGCGAGGTTTTGCGGACACTCGCACATTCTTTCTAGAATTTACTTTGACTTTTGGCTTGGTTTTGAGACTTCACAAGATGATCAAAATTTGGCAGGATTTTCTGTGAGCTCAGGAATGTAGGAAATTGAATTGTTTGCCATGTGGATATTCGTAGACCCAAAAGAAAATGCAATAATCTTAATAAACCTTAAAGTGTAATCACACTTTTTAAAATACTTATTTGCTAATCTTTTGCATTGTACATTTGTAAGATTTTTCCTAATTATGATATTTTTAATTTATTTGAGAATGCCAAAATGTTTTAATATATTTGCTAAACATTAGACGATTTTTTTCTAATTGTTAAATACCAGTTTAGTGAATTTTAGGAGTAACTAGACCTGCTCCTAGAACAACTAGCAGATGATATAGCTAAATCCAATTTGGAACCTGAACATATTTTGTCATTTTTTCGTCCATGTTTCCGGGCGCACGGATTAACCAATTTGAATAGTTCAAAAAACATTGGATTTCTATTGATAGGGATGTGTGCTGATTAGTTTTTGGCAATGGAAGGTCCAGTCATTTCGACGATACAGAGTTAAATGTGCAAAAATGGCAGTTTTTGAGAGAACTAAGCGTCCGATTTGAATGATTCAAAGAACTTTCTGCTTGTTTTAACAAAATAATTGCTTTTGAAAAAAAAAAATTGTTTCAATTTTTTATGAAATTTTTTTTTCTGATTTTTTTGTATATCGAAAATATATCAGGTTTTAATTTTAATTCTTTATTTCGTTCCACAAGCAATATTTTCTAAATCAATGATTGATCAGTCCATTCAATCAATTTGGATCGACAGACGATTTCTAAGTAGTCTTTAGCAATAATCATATTAGTTACATGATGTAATAGACTCTCGCAAATCTTCAAATCTTCTGGTTTGAATACTAATGCAAAATTAAAATTTTGATTCGGATTTGCATGTCATTCAATTCGCCTTTTTGATATATTATTTTGGCACACTTTCAAATCGATTAAATCAATCATTTCTAGAGTCTACGAAAATCATTTATAGTATGATTTGAAAAATATTTATTTTCGCGGAAAAGCTTACGAGTTGTGTTATAACGTGGAAGATATTTGATACCAAATTGCATTTGACGAATTGTACTAGCGTTTTATGTACAGATGTTTTTGCTGTAATCTTTTTGTTGCATTTTATTTTTTATATATTAAGCATTATTACTCTTGTGATTAAACATTTATTTGACCTTTATTTATGCAAATTTTTTGTTTCTATTCATATATACTACACATACGTATTCCATGGCGCTGTTGCCGAGTATATCCATATTTGTTTTGCGCATGAAGTTTAACATATCGAATGAAGATTTCATGAAGGGATAAAAGACTTATCGAAACTTGAAATGTGCAGATTTTTTAACCAATAATATATTTTTACTCGTGCATAGGAAGAGGCATTTGATTTCATCATATTATTATATATAAGAAAATGCAATAATCTTAATATATCTTAACGTGTAATCACACTTCTTGAAATATTTATTCGTTAATCTTTTGCATTATACATTTGTAAGATTTCTCCTAATTATGACATTTTTAATTTATTTGAGAATGCCAAATTGTTTTAATATATTTGCTAAACATGACTCACAAGACGTCTACACACTTGATTATATTTACAAACTTTAATGAAGATGGTTTACATACTTTACAATAACATTATCAAGCTAGTCAAAATCTTCATACAAAAGTGTATAAGTTTAAGAATGCTTTGGAAATTGTACTGAAGGCAAGGTTTTATCCAAGTTTTCAACTAGTTAGTCTTATCTTAATACATTTTGAGCATACCTGTACGATGCTTTTTGTTTACTTAAGTTGATTAGGTGTAAACATGAAATAATTATCTGGCGGTTCATGTAACATGAAAATGTTTAGAAAATGTGGTTCGATGCTTAATTTCGAAAAACGAGAAACATTGTAATATTTTATGTTGTAAGTGTTTTGGTAAACTTTTCGGGACAGATCGGTAGGCCACGTTGCAAAATATTTTAAACAAAATTTAAACTTGTTTCTTTAATTTAATTAGTTTAATTGTATTTTATACCGAATGCAAGCGATTATATGGTTTTCAGACTTATACAGAATTTCATAAACTTTTTTCTTGCATAAGTGGCATTTAATGAAAATAACCATTTTTTTTTTATCAAACTAGCTATAAAATGATTCATGCTTTGCATTAAAACGTAAAAATGATCGCGAAGTTAGCGATTTGCGCTTTATGGAAAAAGTGTAAAACTATGAAATATCATAAAATACAGTAGAACAATGCATGAGATAAAATTAATTGTCGCAAATAAAATTATTTTAATGTCACCATGCATTTTCTCGATGTTGATTTTCCATTTTACATGCGTCATAAAATCTTTTATTTTAATTGTTTGAATTTTAAACGCATATGAATGTAATAACAGCCGTAACTTTGGGGCGGTCCTGTTTACAGACGTCAATGTTAGACAATAATATTTGTTAAATATTAATTATTTTAAATCTGATTATTTAATTAAATAGGAAACATGTTTCTTTGGAATTCAATAACGTTTTGATTCAGCATGATTACACGACTAAATATTTTTTAATTAAGTTCAAATGCTGTAAATGTAAATGACATTCTACATTTATAAATATTTGTATAATAATTTTCCCACGATTTGTATTGCCAACGGGATTATATTTAATTGTGTATTTTATTATATTTACGCCAAATATTTGTTTATAATTATTCACTTTTTTGAATATATCATGAAAATGATTAACAAAAATTTAATTCCACTGTCTAGACACCATCCATGTAATTAAAAAAAATCTGGATTTTGTACGTTATTATTTTTTCTTTGTTCTAGATAGATAATACTTATATTGAAATAAATGGTTATCAGCATTTAATTACCTTGCAATAAACTTTGTTATGAGATTTTACTAGCTTAATTGATTTTCTTTGTTGCCTTTTGCATATTTGGAAAGTGATCTTAAATGAAAAATTGCATATTTAGAGCAATAATTTTTAATAGCAGGTGGTAATTCAATTTTCTGAAGAGAATTTAAATCAATTACATTTGGCCAATTATTTTTAAATCGCTAGATCATACACTGTATGCTATAACTGGTTAGTAATGTCGCTCTCTTAAAATAAATCACAAGATCTACATAATTCTAAGCCAGTGGGGAATTGGCCAGAAAGACCATCCTGCGCTATCGATCAAATTTGAAAGAAGTCAAAACTTTGGTCTTCCATATCCGATCGTTTACCAAATTTATCATTTCATGTGTTACTATTTTGGTTTCAAGGCCATTTCGTTAAACTAAAAATAATTTGTCGGATTGCATTTTCGTTTGTCAGTGCATGAGAAATGAGCACCATATGTTCTATCACCATCGTTAGAAGTTTGTTTCGTTTGTTGATGAGAAATATTTTAGTATACTGGATTGGCATGTTGTTTATTCTGGACGAATGTCGATTAAGTCTCATGGAAAACAAATTGATTTCCTCAATCTGGGTTTATCAATGTTTTTGTATTATAATAAGATTTTATGCATTATGGTATCCAAAAGCCGAATTACATAGGCACTTCTATATTCTTCTGATCTCATTTCAAATACGTACATTTTATAGTTTTTAGCTTTCGTAATTGTCCTTTTGATTGTTTTGAATTTTAAAGCCAGGTCTCTGTAAAATATCTTGCTGCTTTTATTAATAATATTCAAATTTTTCTTCACAATAATTTCTTCTTTTTTTCTAATTTTTATTTTATATATATTGTATTATATTATATTATGCTTATTTTAAGTGAAGAGTTCATTGTTATTCAACGATGGTTTATACAAAATTTTAGAGACAATGTTCATTGCTCATTTTGGTCATAGAGAGGCTATGAATTTCATTTTGTATTCACTGAACACGAAATTTGTATCTTCTTTATTAGTGTTTATTTATGCGAACCAGTTCGTTAATTAGTTAATTAAATATCATAAAACTGTTGTATGCAGAGCTATAAAGAATGCAGATGAAAATATTGATTTCTATTTATTACGCTTCTATGAGCATAAGCTAATCATACAATTACCATGTGAAATCTAATAAAGAGTATATAGTTTTGACTCGATTTCTTTATCAAAGTCCAGTTTGCAATAGAACTAAAATCTGCCTTTAATTGCTTTTTGTTCAGTCGATGACTATCTCTTTGACTCACAAATTATCATAATATTTAAAGTAAATTGTTATAAATACATTAGCTACTTCATTTAGATAAATCGATCTAATTCCAAGAATTAAACCCAATATCGAAAATAGAATTAATTTGTATATAATAGCCTATTCGCACAGAATTACTATTTTAAATGCTTAGTAAATTTGAGCAAAATGTATTTCATGTAATTCTAAACATTTTTACAGATGGTACCGTTCTATATTTAAATTTATATTTTTATCATTGTTTTTTCTATTGTATTTTTTTTTTCAGATTAACCGATTTTATCTTAGGTCTTTTCTTGAACAAGTTATCACAGATTTTATTGTTGTTTTAATTGCTAATGTGAATTTTTTATAATATTAATATTATTATTTAGCAACCTTCGATTTTGAGAGATGAATATGTTTGCATGTTGAATTGTATGTTCAATTAAGAGTTAAGAACTTAGATTTGATTTATTCTTATTTATATGATTGAATTTATAATGTATATTAATTTATTTTTTTCTTTATTTCAGAACTTCCAACGGAAGAGGGTAAGTTTCAATCTAGAGGCAGCTCTTTATTATAATTACCTTTTACTTCTACTGATTGCATAAAGCAATTACCTACAAAATTTACCGAGTTTGTTAGCTTTTAATTTGTATTGTCGTTAAAGGATAATTAAATTCAATGTCATGATTTTGATAATTTTGATTTTATTGTAAAATGATTGACTTAGATAATCATTAATTCGACCAAGCGCTTGTATAGCGTGTTGCGAGCTTTGGGTTGACGACCTTTTAGAATCGTGCGAAAATGTATGCAGTTTACTATATTTATACATATGCATGTCATATGCATATTTGTATATATATATATATATATATATATATATCCATATCCATAAATAAATTCATAGTTCTCGTCGCGTTCACATAGATCCGCCTAAATGTAAATCCCATATGCTTACTCGTCTTTATTTCCTTTTCCTTGTACTGCTTCGTATATGCCAAAATGTAATGAATATCTTGCTTATTTTATTATATAAAAGTGTTATAATATGCGATGTAATTTTATCTTTGCTATGTCTGTTTTTTCGCCAGAACTTTTGTTTGCGAATTTCTCAATGTTTTTAGACGCCATATGACTTAACAATCTCTCATTTGTAATATTATGCAATGCTTCAGATTCATTTTTTATTTTAGTTACTGAATGAAGACTCCTATTTAATCGACTCTCAATTCAATCTACGCTTTATCGATTTTTGAATATTTAATTATCATCACTTAACTATATTTTTAATATTTTTTCATCAAGTTCGTCGTAATAGGGAAATCATTAACTTAATGCATACGTTTGTTGAACTAGAATGATTAACCCATATCTAAAGCCATTGTGTCGTCGAATAATTTATTTCTATCATTTTTGTATCAAATGCGGGTTTCCAAGTATCTGTCATATCAGCACAATTTAATACGTGTTAATAAGTCATATGTCGAGTTCTATATTGTATTTATTCAATGTTGCCCACTCTACGTGTCTATACAACGAAGCACGCAATGCACTTGAATTACATTCATAATTAATCACCCATTACTTGTTTTCACACATTAAATATTTACACCAAGCGGTTTACCTTCTTTGTAATTGTAATTGATTTTACATTAATATTGGTTACATGTTTTTTTTTTTATTTAACGTTTTTGGATTTCCATGAATTGTCATTTACTGGTCTCAATTCATAATTTTTAAACTGGAACAGTTTTAAAAAAATCTGAAAAAGAACTACTTACAGGTATTCCTGAATCCAAAAATTATTTCATTTATATTTCACACCTTATGAAACAAAATTGTATAAAAGTGTTAAGTCATTTTAATATATAGGTCTTTACAAACCTTTCTATTCTAAATTAAGGGAAATCCATTATTTCTTTTATTATCTATCATGCTTCTATTAATATTCTATCTGACTATAATACATGCAATAGGAATGTATGTCTGGTTTGTCTGTTCATTTAAATTTATTTTTGTAATCAAAAATATACTAGTGGGTTTTACAAAGGAAACATATAATGTATAAGCTTCTATTTGCCAGCTGATGCAACTGTAATATATTAAAATGCAAGATTTATATATTCGTCGGCATGCTACGTCTAACTTTGAAATATGATTTAATTTAATTTACCGCGTTGATGGTTTTATTTCTAGACACTTACATAAAACAGATTATATCAAGTTTCATGCCAAGACACCTGTTGATTCATTAATGTTTCAAGAAATGTTTTAAGTCGATTTTAAAATTTAGAATGAGCGAGAATTTGCTGATTCATGTTTCACTAGAGACAAAGGATGTACAATATTATTATCAGAAGTATCATCTCACGCGATGATAAGAAGTGAAATCGGTATGTTCTAGTTCCGATCTCTCTCATAAAAGCATATTTTTACGATGATGCAATATTTTATCTATACATACAAAGCCTTTTTTTGTTTTAATTGATCTGGTGGCGTGTTTGATTATTTGTGACGTGTTATTATTACATTTGATGACGCACTACTTTTAATTTCGGTTAACTTTTTTAACAAATTTCGAATGGTAACATTTATAGCTGTTACCATTACGCATTCAATGCCAATTACATTTAAGGGGCACAACTAGTGTAACCGCCTAAAAAAAGGTGATTTTTGGGAATTTATATTAACAAAAATACTTTATCAATCATTTCAAAATTTTAAGAATATATTTACACATGTTTTAAGAATACATAGTAAAATTTTTGAAGAAAAAAATTAAATATTTTTTAAGTTATCGTCGATCTCCAACGGCGCGAAAAAAAGACCCTACACTGCTGCAGTGATTCCGGCCTTCTACGTGGATGAAATTTAAAAATTAAAAATTCTCATTAAACTAGATAATATTGTCTGTAAAATGAACTACGATAAAAAAATAATCAAAAAATGACAAAATGGCGGACTTTTTAAAAAAAAGTCGAATTTTACCCAAAATTTTGGTCCTTTTTGGACTGCCAAAATTCGATTTTTGATCCGATCAAAAAATCGATAGTTCATTTTACGGAGAACTATATATAGAACATGTGAAAAAATGATAGTGATCGGATTATTTGTTTTTGAGTAATCGCTGCAGCAAATTCGGAAAATGCCGTTTCGAGAAAAACGCGTTTAAAGATAAAATGATCGTTATACTCAGTGGCGTCGGAACCGTGTGGGCTGTGTGGGCTTGAGCCCACCCATGAATTTTGATGGGGGGGCTCAGCCCACCCATCAATTTCAAAAAATTATATGGGCTAATATCTCAAAAAAAACGAGACCACTGGCTGCCTATATGAAAAAAAAAACGAGCCCACCCATCAAAAATTTGGTTCCGACGCCACTGGTTATACTATATACTATATGTATACTCTTTAAATGGCTGTAACTCAAAAACTATTTAAGATACCAATTCAAAATTTTGGTATGTTATTTTTAAAGGTATAACCTATCGAAACATGGAAAAATTGAAAATTCGATTTTTTGAAAATTTCACACTAGTTGTGCCCCTTAACACTGAAATATTGTCTTGAATTGATCGATTAATTTTGACCAATTATTTTGTTCTTTCCCAATCATATTAATAATACTATTATTTCACGTCAAACTCAAAATTATAATTGCTAATTTATAACAGTTACCTTTCAATACCTATCAATTTTAGATGTAATTGAAATAAAATTCCGTGAATACTACAGAGCAAGGAAAACACCGTTTAGTTATATATTAAGAGCCAGCCAGCTGTGCAAATTTCTCTGAAAAGAGAGGGGTGTGGATTTCACAAAAAGATATCACGTCTATTGTGTATTTATTTTTCAACAGAATTGAGAAATAAATCCAAAATTTGCCAATGTTTTTTCCAAAATTATTACGATTTTTTGTAGGTATTCAAGAATTACGTGATATTGGTTGGGGAATGGGGTTAATTTTAAATATCCAGAGGAGGGGTCCAAAAATCCTTGCAAATCCATTGCGTCACTTGAAACATGTAGATTTACCGGTTACAATTTTTCACAGAACATCCTTCTAAATTACGTTGCTCATTTAACATTGTTCTTTCTCTTCACATACAAAACAATTCGTAAACATTCCTGATTTCCAATTCAGTTTCGTTATCTTAATGCAATTCGCTCGCGCACTTGCCTGCCCATAGCTTAGCAAAGCGATCAACTCTAGCCGGGTGATTACCGTTTGCAAGTGATTGACGTCACTTGGTACCAGTACCCAGGGTACACGTGTTCGTGAACGTGACGTCATTCATTTCATCGGCAGTTTAGTCAGAGATGACCTCGTCGTCACGCTTTACTCATCATTGAAACATCATACAGAAGAAGAATCTTTACATTAGATGAAATTGGTGAACTGATTAGCAATGAATTGATACATAGTTTCATTAACATACTCCCTCGATTATAGAGCATATTGCATAAATAAATGTCTTTGCGACGACGAATATCAATGAAACCGTATAAATAACTAGAGATTAATGTTAGTCAAAATAACTACTAAGTATGATCAAAAAACTTACATTTTTACCAAAAAACACACACACATATATATATATATATATATATTAGAGATGGTAACTCACTCCGGAGTTATCACTCGGATACAACTCCTCCCTCGGAGTGAATCCGATTGGAGTTCTTTCACAGGATTTGTCATATCCGACTTCCTTAAACTGCTATTAAATCTGTACGAGGCATTTAGTGTTTTTGTCGTTTTTAATATGGGAAGGAAGCGGTCACTTTCTTGTCTCGCAGGCAGTTTTATGACCTTTTTTAGGTATAAAAGTCAAAATAAATACCATTGTGTATTTTCCAGAAATGTTGTTTTAAAATGTTACTTTAAAGATACAGAACAATGAAATTGTATTCAAGTGTGAATAGGTCAAATGTATAATTTATTGAATAGTAAAAGGTCATATTTTTAACTACGACAATCCTTGGCCGTAAATGACGGCAATCAGGAATATAAACACCGAAAAATATACGAAACGAAATACATTTATTTAATCTTGTTTTTCCATAGCCTGAAATAACAACGCTTTAGAGTACAAAATTCATCAGTGATATCATTAGCATTTAAGCAGTAAAAAATATTCAGTATTATATTATTACTTTTACACAATTATATAATTCGAACTACGCGATATAATATTAATTTTCAAATGGAAATAGCAGAAGGAAAATTTTGAAAGCATAGGTATTATGTTTTTCTTTTATTACAAAGTTTACTACATAATTTTTATATAAAATTAATCCAAAAATTCAATTATTTTCTCATCAAAAGGAAATCATTAAATTAAATTTGATTCTCAAGTTTTGCGTTTTTACTTTGGTCAACACTGCTAAAAATACGAGTCACTGAGTCGATCATCTGGTCGCCAGAAAAATTTTACAATCCGTTATTTATTCGTGAATTTTTTAGAAAAATTATTTTATTGATAATTATTCATAAATTTTTATTTCAAATAATTAATGGGATTTGACAAATCCTTAGATACATAAACAGCGTACTATAGAACACATTTGTTTCGAGTATTTCGGTTTCAAAATTGTCGGAGTCGTGGAGTTGTTTAGCGGATATAACTCCACCATAAAGCGGAGTCAAATCCGAGTCGATCCAGCTTCGGATATAATAAGCCCATATCTAATATATATATATTTATATATATATATATATATATATATATATATATATATATAAAATATATCGTATACAAAATATATATTGTATATCAAAATCATGATATGGAGGGGGGATGGTCGTATCCTATTTTATATATTTAATACTCATAAGGAAATCTTCATATCCTATTACAAATCATATATTATCAAAATCATGATACGGGAATCATCATATCCTATATTCGATCGAAGTGTTGATTTACAAAGAATTATGTTGAAAAAATTCTAATTAATAGATTAAATATTCCTTATACTCTTTATAATGCTTCTTTTTATATTTAGAATAATATAAATATGTATAAAATTTTAAAATTTGAATCATTGTGCTTTATTTATGACGGAACAAAATATGATATAAAAATATTACATGTACATATTATTTTTTCTAATTGTAATGTGTTCACTCTTATATCAACTTCTTAATTACTTCTCTTTTTTGTAAACCTATCTTAACATAGCACAGCTCTTGAATTTTATTTCTTAAACATGTCGCTCAAAATAACTCTAAGATATGCAATTTTCTTTGTTTCTGCCAGTATTTTATTCTATATACAAACATATGTAGAAATCTTAACACTTATGCTATCATTTAGGTTTAACATGTGATATGCAACACGTTACTTACGCTGGCTTGTTTACATGTTCTGTGCACCTTATCTATTTTTAATCTTTAAGTTTTTCTCGGATGTATACTAGATTTTTAATGTAGTTTTCCACGCTCTACTGTCGCATTTCTTAATGGGATATTAAGGTGTTCGACAGAAATTGTTGGAGATAAATGTTTAGCTTTATGTGCAAATATGTAGATTTTTCGAATCACATTATATTTTGAAATTTATGATTTGAAAAGACTATAAAAATGTAGATATTTTGAAACTTTAGAATATTACAAAATTAAACATTAATAGACTAAAACAAAGATTTTAGAATTTATTTTATCAAACGTATTGTGTTTTTAAAAATTTACTATTAAATAAAATCAAATACTTTTCTTGTTATAAACCACGTCTAGCTTCTAAGTAGATTATAATCAATTAATCTTTTGCGTTAATGTGAAAGTTTTTGTGATATATCACATTACTTATCTTTATCAAAGTTTAACTTTATCAAATGTTCCCACGCCAATGTTTCTTATCTTTATCTGGATAATGATTATTATTTTTCGTTACAGGTAAATCCATCTGGCAATTAGTACTTGAACAATTCGATGATCTTCTAGTTAAAATTTTACTGTTAGCTGCTATTATATCTTTCGTAAGTAAATTGTTATTTTAAATTCAAGCAAAGGAAAAGTACATATTTTTAACCGAAGATTCATAGATGTTTTATTAATTATTACTTCGTGTTGATTACTTATGCATTTGATTGTTTGTGCATTATTATTTTTCTTTGTGATGTACATAATCATTTTTTATTATTTTATAGTTATAAAATTAAATATCAGAACCAACAAAAAAAAGCAATTATTGTACGACTATCATAAATCGTTTTTAAAATAAACTGGAAAGCAGAAGATTTATGAAGGTCGGTCGCGCGAATATAACGACCAAAGCAGGATTGAATAATTGGCAAACATGTCGCATCTGTTGGATAACACTTATTTATCTGGTACTAATTGTGACCCTGTTAAAAATCTTTTTCGAACTCGATGTGCATCAGTACTTCCGTAAACAAACTTTTGGCACTGCATTCTGAATTGTTTGGCTCATTAGTGTCGCATAATTCTGAGTGTCTAAATTATATAAGATGTATTCGTTCTCAATGTCAAATTCAAAATATAAAAAGTTTGTTGTAGAATTATATTCAAGTCAGCTTTTATAAAATATCTAATTTTTAAGCAATCTATTTGAGGAAAGTGTTTGTGGTCTCCTAATTTGTGCCTACAATTTGTAATCTGGCACTGATGTTTTGCTCTGGTTTCTATTTTTATTCACATGTTTACGCTCTATTCGCTATACGCGATGTCCTACGTTTGCAAGACTTTTTAAACGGCGTGAAATCGCGGCGTTAATTTAGCTTATCTAGAAAATATTTCTTCAATATTTTATAGTTACATAATGTGCGTTATTAGATAATTTGTGAGTTCTTCAAACATCCTAAAATATTATACTAAATTATGAGAGCTTCATTAATTAATCATTTTTTCTTACAGGTTCTCGCCCTTTTTGAAGAGCACGAAGATTCTTTCACTGCCTTCGTTGAACCTTTCGTCATTTTACTGATTTTAATCGCTAACGCTATTGTCGGTGTTTGGCAGGTAAGAACTTCGATCATCAAAATCTGATGATCTCAACAAAGATCTGAAGTATTTATTATTAATCTACTATTACAGGAAAGAAACGCTGAATCGGCTATTGAAGCTCTTAAGGAATATGAACCAGAAATGGGAAAAGTCGTCCGTGGCGATAAGGCCGGTGTACAAAAAGTACGCGCGAAGGAAATCGTTCCCGGAGACATCGTTGAAGTATCCGTCGGAGACAAAATTCCCGCCGACATCCGTCTCATAAAAATTTTCTCCACGACAATTCGTATCGATCAATCTATTTTGACTGGTGAATCAGTCTCTGTAATAAAACACACCGATCCCATCCCAGACCCACGGGCGGTCAATCAGGACAAAAAGAATATTTTGTTTTCTGGCACAAACGTAGCTGCTGGAAAAGCTCGTGGTATTGTTATCGGCACTGGCTTGAACACTGCTATTGGTAAAATTCGTACTGAAATGTCAGAAACTGAAGAAATCAAGACCCCACTTCAGCAAAAGCTTGATGAATTTGGTGAACAATTGTCTAAAGTAATCACCGTTATTTGCATTGCCGTGTGGGCTATTAATATTGGACATTTCAATGACCCTGCTCACGGAGGTTCATGGATCAAGGGTGCCGTCTACTACTTCAAAATCGCAGTTGCTCTCGCTGTAGCCGCCATTCCAGAAGGTTTACCTGCTGTCATCACAACTTGTTTGGCCTTAGGTACCCGTCGTATGGCCAAGAAAAATGCTATCGTACGTTCTTTGCCTTCAGTAGAAACCTTGGGTTGCACATCAGTAATTTGCTCTGATAAGACTGGTACTTTGACCACTAATCAGATGTCTGTATCTCGTATGTTTGTCTTTGACAAAATTGAAGGTAGCGATAGCAGTTTCACTGAATTCGAAATCACTGGATCCACTTATGAACCAATTGGTGATGTATACTTGAAAGGTGCTAAAGTTAAGGCCAGCGAATTTGACACCCTGCATGAATTAGGAACAATCTGTATCATGTGCAATGATTCCGCTATTGATTTCAACGAATTCAAACAAGCTTTCGAAAAAGTCGGTGAAGCTACCGAAACCGCCTTGATTGTATTGGCTGAAAAAATGAATCCATTCAATGTTTCTAAACAAGGACTAGACCGTCGTTCTGCTGCCATCGCCGTCCGCCAGGAAATTGAAACCAAATGGAAAAAAGAGTTCACTCTCGAATTCTCTCGCGATCGTAAATCTATGTCTTCCTATTGTACTCCACTGAAAGCTTCTCGTCTAGGTACTGGACCTAAATTATTCTGTAAGGGTGCCCCAGAAGGTGTATTGGAACGTTGCACACACGCTCGTGTAGGAACCACCAAGGTACCACTGAATGCAACTCTTAAGAACCGCATTCTTGACTTGACTCGTCAATACGGTACTGGACGTGATACTCTTCGTTGCTTGGCTTTGGCTACCGCTGATAACCCAATGAAACCAGAAGATATGGATCTTGGAGACTCCACTAAATTCTACACCTATGAAGTGAATCTAACCTTTGTTGGAGTCGTCGGTATGTTGGATCCCCCACGTAAAGAAGTATTTGATTCCATTGTTCGCTGCCGCGCTGCCGGTATCCGCGTAATTGTTATCACTGGTGACAACAAGGCTACCGCCGAAGCTATTTGCAGACGTATTGGTGTGTTTACAGAAGATGAGGATACAACCGGAAAATCATACTCTGGACGTGAATTCGATGATCTACCAATTTCCGAACAGAGGAATGCTTGTGCTCATGCTCGCCTGTTCTCACGTGTGGAACCCGCTCACAAATCAAAGATTGTAGAATATTTGCAGAGCATGAACGAAATTTCTGCTATGGTATAATCAATTAATAAAACATTGTAATTTTATTCAAATATTTATGTACTTAATGTTTTCTTCATAGACTGGTGATGGTGTAAATGACGCTCCTGCCTTAAAGAAAGCCGAAATTGGTATTGCCATGGGCTCTGGTACTGCTGTAGCTAAATCTGCTTCTGAAATGGTGTTAGCTGATGATAACTTCTCTTCTATTGTCGCTGCTGTTGAAGAAGGTCGCGCTATTTATAACAACATGAAACAATTCATCCGATACTTGATTTCTTCCAACGTTGGTGAGGTTAGTATTTAAATTCAAAAAAATGTATTAAAAAATAACTTGTTACTTTTTACTATTTCTATTAACCTTTTTAATTGCTTAGGTTGTTTCAATCTTCTTGACTGCGGCTCTTGGTCTTCCTGAAGCTTTAATCCCTGTACAATTGTTGTGGGTCAACTTGGTCACTGATGGTTTACCAGCTACTGCCTTAGGTTTCAACCCACCGGACTTGGACATTATGGACAAACCACCACGTAAAGCTGATGAAGGTCTTATCTCTGGATGGTTGTTCTTCAGGTATAATTATTGATACAACTGTTAATTATTAGTTTTTTTCAATACAACTGTTTAATTATTTAATTATGTAAATATTTTTTATGAAATACCATTTTCATTTCAGATACATGGCTATTGGAGGGTATGTAGGTGCTGCCACTGTTGGAGCTGCCAGTTGGTGGTTCATGTATTCTCCATATGGTCCACAAATGAGCTACTGGCAACTTGTATGTGATATTTATGACGTAACAATTTATGATTAATTGGAATAACACGTATTATGTTTATTTCTAGACTCATCACTTGCAATGTCTTGGTGGTGGTGACGAATTTAAGGGAGTCGATTGTGGTATTTTCACTGATCCTCATCCAATGACCATGGCTTTGTCTGTACTTGTAACAATTGAGATGTTAAACGCAATGAACAGGTAAACTTAAGATTTTTTCTGTAATATGCACAAAATATATAATACAGATTTATAATATGAAATTATTGTAGTTTGTCTGAAAATCAATCTCTTCTTGCTATGCCCCCATGGCAAAACATGTGGTTGGTAGGATCCATGGCTCTCTCCTTCACTCTTCACTTCGTCATTTTACATGTAGAAGTTTTATCAGTAAGTAAAATAACACAACTTAATTTTTTTTATTTTTTTGAAGTTTCTGAATACTAGTTCATGAGATTTCAGTCGCTTTAAGTTAGATTCTCACTGATCAATGTCATTTTATTGTGCAGGCTGTTTTCCAAGTAACTCCATTGTCTCCTGATGAATGGATCACTGTGATGAAATTCTCTATTCCTGTTATATTGCTTGATGAAGTACTGAAGTTTGTTGCGCGAAAGATCACTGATGGTGAGAGCATCTTCTATAAATGCCATTGGCTAGTTCTAACATGGGCCATTTGGTTTGGTTTGTTGATTTATGGTCCAATTTAAATACGACTTACCAGTCCCTGCTAACCAAGCACCCAATTGTCACCACTTTCTGTAGTGTGCAGTGATTATAACTGGACTACATATGAGTGCAGAATCCTCCTCAATTAACAGTTAATTTGATGGTGAACTTACCTGACCCATGAGGTACAGGCAATGAGTGAAATACTAATATAAAAAGTTTACAGCATAATTCTGCATTGTGTTATTACGTGATGTATTTTCCATCATAAACTGTTTGTATAAATTAACTTAATTAATAATTTTTGATAACATAAATATAAATATATGTATATGTATATATATATATATATATATATATATATATATATATATAATTTGAATATAGAATTTAACAAGGGTTACGAGTGTGCAACATGTTATAAAATATGTATGACTGTATAAAACATTTTTTAAGCATTTACAATTATGAGGTGACAAATCTACTTATATAATTAGGTAATATTAGTAAAACTTAAAAACATCAAGCCCACAATGGGAAAATCTAAGTTTATATTTATTATGTTCTTTTAGTTAAACGCTCAGTGATCGTTTTTCTATGTGCAATAAGTTTGAGCTCTATATTAATACTACACTAGATATTTTCTTAATCTGCTAGTTTTTAAAGTAAATATTATACTGTGACTTCTCATATTTCTGCTGTTCGGGTTGGATTTGTTTATTTAATCAACTTAGCATATAATATATCCAAAAACCATATATTGAATACGCTTATTTTTTTTTATCATTTTATCAACTTAAAATTGCTATATGAATGTCATACCTGCATCTATTATTCAAAGCTAGCACAGATTCCTAAGCTCATACTTATAAGTAGTAAATTTTTAATTTATGAATATATAATTGTAAATATATTTTTTCAACAGTAAAGTGATGTTTTTAATTTTCAATTTAATGTATACAAATATTTTAAAATTATTTTTGATTTTTACTAATTGTGATATATTAAATATGTAATTTAATATACATTTCTATTAAAACTTACGATTTTGAGGCATTTTATAATGGAAGATGTGTGCCGTCACAAATTACTATTGTAAAGCATATTTGTAATATATAAGCAAGGATTAGTCTTAATTTGTTTTTTGTGAGCACTTTAACTAACTATTCAGTAGCAACTCATGCTGAGAACTATGAAGCTGGTGTTGTTTCAGTTTGAATTAATGGCATGAAATATGTAAGTATCAATTTTTTTGCATTTATTTTGTAGCTTTTTTTTTATAACTAATTCTAATGAATATCAAATCATATATTGTGAAAATTATTCATATATTTTTTCTCTTATAATAGTGGCCGAACCAGTAGTAGTATCCCATTAAATGGGAGGAAATCATGTGTGCATCAACACCCCTTCACACATATCACAATGAATGCAGATCCAACACAATTCCAATCTGTTGGAATATACACCCACCCTGAGTAACATGGAAAATTGGCAAAGATTCAAAATTAAAATCAATCCATTTCAAAATTATTATTATACATATGACAGCAAATGTAAACTAAATCAAGTTACATCCCAAATTAAAAGCAATAATGTGTTTTTAAATCAGCTGGTCCTGATATTAAAATCACATTTTTCCTTTCATATTCAATAGCATGTATAAATTAATTATGATACAAAAATTCCTTATTTTAATTAAACATCACGCATGAGTTTTTTTTTATCAAACATTCAATTATTGAAATGTTACGAACTAAACTGACAATTTTATTTTAGTGGGAGAAGAAGTCGACAAAACAAAGTGGTAAACTTTCAACAAGGAATACATTACCAACAAAATTATAAAAGTCATGAATAAATTAATATGTAAATATTATGATAAGGATTATATACATTTGATTTCTTTTTGTAAATAAAGATTAGGGATTTAAATTGTACACTATTGTTTATATGTATATAAGAATAATAATATATGCATATGCAATTGTGTGTTAGGTTTACTTTACTCTGTTTAGTAAACTACCACACATAACAATAATTTGTACAATTTGTAACTTTATCAACTTTTTACAACATTTATTGTAAGTTGTAACAAACACTTCATTTATCCGTAAGGATAATGTGAATTAAATCATAATTCGTTTTAGTATTATAAGTCCGTGCTATTGTTAGTTAATTATCGATAGGATTTTTGTGTTATTCATTTGAGGAAAAATAGGCGGAGGCTGATATCATCAAATTGCTGTGTTGCCTTCAAGGATTTACCAACTTATAATAAATAATAGAAGTCCAAATCATTTATTAATTAAGAATGCGTCATCTTGTCAATTTGATTACTCTGTGATAAGAGTAACGAGTAAAAGTTACATATACAATTAAACAGTACTGTAATATGCGATTACTTATTTTTCTTTATTTATACAAAGTAAAATAAGTTTTAGACTATGATTACATATTGTATATTTTAATTTTATCTGTAAATATCTTACAATAAAAGATAACAAACGATTTACTTTGTTTCTTATTATTTACTTTTTATACTTTTTTTTTATAGATGATCTGTTGGCTAAAAAGATATTGTTTTTGCAAATATTTTGTCGTTTTTATCTACAGATAATCATAATTTAATTACCATTCATATAGATGAAAGAAGAGTATATAATTTAGAGCTTACACTATATTAATTATACTTCTTGCAGTACAATGAAAGTGTGAGGAATTATTTTTTAAAAATCATTTTCGCTGGGCATTAAATAGCAAAATGTGAATGAATGTCAGTTTTAATCATTTTCAAATAAATATTAAACAAGGGACATATTTTTCTTAAATGTTGGTGCACCCTTATCAAAAAATAGTAGGTGTGAGTAGGTGTCTTCTTGAACCATCTGGCAAGGTTTTGTACTACTTCCGTTTTTTCATAAAAAGAAATTGATAAGTGATCGTTGTTAATTATTGAAGGTAAGTTTTTGTGTTTCTCTTGTCAAATTTCTTATATTCATAAAGGAATACATAACATCTATGGGTTTAAACGCTTTTATCTTTTGATAATATATGTTAACGATAAAATAACTTACATTACTCTCTAATTGCACAAATATTTTTAAGTAGACACAAAATGGAGGGCAATGCAGAATGGATAAATGAACGCGATGAAAGACTAAAGCAGCTTCAAAAAATAGTTTCTGAAGATAATTTTGGTGGCGATTCGAGAAATTTAAAATTATCCGAAGAATTGAGAATTTGTAGAGATGTGAAAACTGATGCTGAAACTACGTTTATAGAATATCTAGAGAAGGTTATATCATGTCAAACTTTGCAGGTGAGAATTGAAAAAAACAAACGACTTAATGAAAAACAAGATAAGGAAATAAACCGTTTAATGAACCGGCTATCGATTGAATCAAACCGAAATAAAGATTTGAAAAATTCTATAGAGATTATAGAGAAAGCTACTCAAACTTTTCGTACGGTATTTACGCAAATGATAGTTAATCATAATAATTATATTTTTGGGCAAAACAGTCTGCAACAAGATCAAGATAATTTAAGCCATTTGAAAGCTGAAGTTTCTAAAAAAGTTGAGTTGATAGAAAATTCATCAATGACAAAATTGAATTTACCAGAATTACGAAAAAAAATGTTGAAGAATAACATTGAACTTATGCAGTTACAAACACAAAAACTTGATACACTACATATGATATCAACGTTTAAAAAAATTAATACAATGCAACAAAATTTAAAAATGATCAAATTTGCTTCGAATATGATTGAAATAAAGAAATTTCGGGAAAAGTTTCAATCACTAGTTACTGAGCAGAAAGATTTGAACCTTATTATTTTGAATTTGAAAAAACGTTTGCAATGTCTTTCTTCCGACAAATGTGATATCGATTCTTATGATAAATCTACTCCCAATTGTTTAGAAAGCGATGTAGTAATAATAGATAAGGGGATACCGGAAAAGACATCTGCAATATTTGATAAATTTAATTTGCCTACACTAATTGTGACTCCCCTGAGAAATGCGGACCATTTAAATTATCAAACGGCGGTTGTTGAGAAAGATATACCCAGCCTATACTATCAAAAAAATATTGTAGATAAATCTGTCAACAAGGAATCCTCTGCTAGCTTGAAATTGAACAATTTAGCAAATAATAATACGAAAGAAGCATTTACACCGGCTCAGTTACAAACACAGACCCTTGATAGGCAAAACGCAAAACCCCAAGTGGTAACAGAATTGACTACAAATAAAGAAGATAAATCGCAATCTGCTGAGCTTTTGAAAAGAAGGAAAACTTCAAATACAGCAGATGAAAATCTTGATCAAAATAAAAAAACAATCATACAAGTAATATCTGATACAACATATCAAGATAATGTGGTCGTATCTCAATATTTTACAAAGCAAAAAATAATAACAAATGATAGTTTAAATAAAAAATCGGATACAGCTCTTGGGAATAAATCATTTACTCAACCGCATAATATGGCAAAACCCCAAAAGCGTTTGGGACCTTCGCAGCGAAATGTGGCGTCTCAACCAAATAAGAAACCAAAAAGGATAGATAATATGCAATTTGTCAAGCCTATTATTTCAGAGCCTTTGAAACAGACCGAAATCAATAAATCTGGATTTAAAAACCCAGATAAGAAAACTCAAGGAAACAATAAGACTATTAAATCAGTTCATTTCAGTGAACAGATATCACAAGATATATCTGAAAAACAACCACAATTATCAAAACGCAAGGAAGATACATTTGAATCAGAAAAGTTAGGTATCAGTCGGCGCAATAATGAAGCTCAGATGCAAACTCAAACTCATTCCAACCAAATTTTTGGGCCAAAAAATCTACAGAGAGATGCAAACGATGCTGGCTTTTCTAATAAATCTGCATTTGAAAATAGCTTTCTGGATGGATTCAATACTACTAGCGAAAGTGATCGAGAGGATACTAATGATAATTTAAGTTTTGGTCATTTTAAATGCAATATATCTGAGGAGTCTTCCAAATCAACGAATTCTAATGATTTTAACTTCATTACTGATAATGTATCAAAACCGAGTTCTACTGATTATACAGATTTATTTGGTCTTTTTTAAGAAACTGTGTAAAATTCAAGTTATTTTTAATTTTGTAGAACTATTTTAAATAAAATAATACTCTGTCATAGAACAATAAGTTTATAATAAATGTATCAAAATAGAAATACTCTAGTTTATATATGCATTGTTTTTATAATTATATATAGATAAATAATAGCTTACGATAATGCTGCACAAAAAGGAGGCATCTAACTGCTTTTAAATGGAATTTATAAACTATGATTTACACATATATATATTAATATAAAATATCAAACAAATTATTTTTTTGGAAACGAAGAAATAATCAAATATTTAAAAATAAAGTTTCGAATCAAATTTTATGAGATCTCGCCATAGACCTAATATTACATGTAAATAAGGTCTATGGATCTCGCATACATCTCGCACTTCATGTCAGATGTCTTTTGCGTATCTGTCACTGTCATTTTAACACTGTCAAAACATGATTTCAATTCGTTTTCATTTGAAATGTATTATTTGATTTTGTAATACGTTTGTTGTCATAAATTGTGAAAAATATGAATTATGAATTACTTTTATTTCCATATATATAACATATTGTATTTATCAATACAATAATGTGTTCTTTACTGACTTGGTAATTGTAGGTAGAAATGAGCCAACATTCAAGTTATAATAATTATATTGAAGCTAAAAGTTATGGTAAACATTTAAGCTTTTTAAAAGCATACATACTTTTACCCTCTATTGAATTACCTTGTTTGTCTAATTGATTGATTCATTTAGAATACTATTATGTCTGCAATTTTATCTTCAAGTACCTATTCAAGTAAAAGTGTTGTAGACAAACAAAAATTACTTGCAAATCTCCATAATGCTGTAAAAACTTGCCAAAATAAGTATGGAGGAAGGACAGAATTAGCTACAGAATCTGATAATAGGTATTCATCGAAATTATAAAATTACATTTATATATACATATATATTTCTCACTTTGTTATTCTTTTAAGTATTGTTATTTTGTGTCATTGTTTCGAAGCTGTTTTAAATCATGGTCTTCGACAACAGCCTTCTTCAGCCCTGAAACAAATGGCAGAATTGATTGCGGGTCCTGAAACACCCACATTTTGGAATTATGTTGAAAGTCAACTTACTAGTCATGAAAAGGAGAGATACACATCGTTGCGACTAGTAAATACATTGAATTTAAATTGCCTGAACTTAGAAATTGGGATGCAATGCTTTATCTTTCATTTCTAGGTTTGGACTGATAGGGGCCGAGCAAGATCTCTTTTACGAGCTGCAATAAATGAAAGGTCTTTAGAGAGATATTTACACTGCTGGCTTGGTCATTCATCTTTAGAACAATATTATGAAGAATGGGCAATAATGAGAGATCCAGAAGCTAGTGCCATGTTGCCTAACTTAGCTGCAGGTTTAATATCTATTTTATTTGCTATTACTATTGATAGTTTGGATCTTAACTCGTCAAAAGATCTAAATTTAGAAATATTGCATCGATCAGAACCTATAATAGCAGTACCACCACCAACTATTCCAAAAAGAAAATCTGGAAATCATCATGTGAATATACTGAAATACTGTTTTATATTTTGCTTATTATTTTTAATTTATTATTTATAATATAGGTAATATCATTTGATGATGATGATGAGAATGCATTAATATCCAAAACTGATCCCACAAGTCACCCTGTTGAAAAAGTATTCAGTCAACCTTCAAAGAGTTCCGAAATAAAACTAGATTCAAATAACGTAGAACAAGAAGTAATCAACTCTGAAAAAGTTGAAATAATTACTTCTGCAAAAGAAAATGAAAGCACAAGTATTGTAAGTATTGGTAAAAATAAAATATAATTGCACACATTTGCATCTAGCAAAAAATAATGGGCAATAATTTTTTTTGTAAGCTAACTGATGAACTGAATCATGACAAGAGTCAAGTTGTTCAGGTACGCTATCAGAATATTCCACAACATTCTACTAAGGAGAATGTATCAGATCAAGTATCGAATTTAAGTGATTCAGGCTTAGGGGAAGGGCCTTTTCCTTTAGTTGAAAGCTATACATCAAGTACAATTTCATTAAAAGGTTCTGTGGATTCAACAGAATCAAACACTTTTCAAACTGATATTGAAATATTACAATTAAAATTAGAAGAAAAGGAAGAACGTTGCAACTGGTTAGAGGCTCGTGTAGCTGAATTAAGCAGGTGCAAAGTACAAAAACATTATTTATGCTCTCTTCTTGCAAGCAAATGAAAAAAATAAGATTATAAATCATTCATTTCAGAGAAAACCAACAATTAAAACAAGCTAATAATTTAGTTTCTGGTCCATCATTTACAATAAGCATACCAAAAGTGCATAAAATTGGATCACACTACGAATATGAAATTTTAATATCATCAAATGTAAGGTTGAAAAATATTTGTATATTTTAATTTACAAGTAACATTCAATTACTTTCTACAGCATCATAATGAATCATGGAGGTTACTCAGAAGATATAATATATTTTATAATTTGCATAAGGAACTATGCAAGAAAAATCCATCACTTAACAAGCTGGATTTTCCTCCAAAAAAGGCTATAGGAAATATGGTAGTGTATAGATAACTAGAAATGTATTCACACAATAATATTTTAAAACCTGCATTTTCACAGAGTAATGTTGTTATTGAAGAACGAAGACAGAGATTGCAGGCATACCTAAGACAACTTATTAATTTGTTGCCTCAATTAGGTTGCTGTACAACCAGAACTCAACTGGAAAGAACTTTAACATTTTTTAGAACAGAGCAAGAAATATAAGTACGTTAAGAAAATATCAAAGTATTTAATATATATTTTAAAACATAAATATTTTAATTATGATATAATCATTTATAATACACATTTACAATAATTTTATATGTGCTGCAGTTTGTAAATAATTAATATAAAATATATTAAATTATTTGAAAACAAAAATATGAAGTCTATATTATATTATATAAATAAATTGATTAATTCATCTTTTTCTGAATTACATTGCAATAACATAAAATGGCAGAATAGCTATTCTGCCTAAATAATCTAGATTATTTAACCACTAATCTTTTATTGAATTGAAAAGACCATAATATTAAGAATTGTGTCAAAGATAAAACTTAAAACAAAAGAAAATTTAAAGTATGAAGTATAAAAATATACAAAAATATTTAAAAAAATAGTTTATAGAAGTTGTACAAGATAATTTTAAAGTTTCCGCCCAAAGGTATTTCTTCAAAAAGCGATCCTTATCGATGTCAGGCGACTTCATACGAAGTCACAACCGTAAAGAACAATGGCCGACATTTTGCTTTAGGCTGTCACAAAAGCGCTTATTGGTACTTATGTCCAATTAAAGAAAGGTTTAGCCGCATTCATGCACGGTTTTATGTTTCAAAAGTGTATTTTGAAATTATTTTTAGTGAAAATAGTGTAATTTAGTTTAATTATGTCGGGGGAAAGAGAAATAGCCGCTGAGGATAGTATTCGAGTCGTATGCAGGTTCCGGCCCCTGAATGATTCAGAGGAAAAGGCTGGTTCGAAGTTTATTGTCAAGTTTCCAAGTGGAAATGAGGATAATTGCATCACAATCGGGGTAAGAATTAATAGTATTGATTATTTTTTTAAATTAGTTTACATGTCATCGATTGACATAAGGTAGGGTGGGGATGATTTTGCCTACGGGTATTACGATATTACGGAATCAAGATGTTGTACTGGTAATGCATAGATGGCCGCTTTGGCGTTTTTATTAATTTATTTTTGTTATTATTTAAAAGACTTCATTATATGATTTCTGATAAAAACCTTGTTGCACAAATTTACAACGTTTTATACGCGGTAGCCCTCTATGTTTGAGATTGTCATTATTCTAGTATGATTCCAATGATTTGATTCTATTTTTTGATAACAATGATTATTATCATAATTAGTCTATTTACACGTATCAAAACTCATTTTTCTTATACTGTTGCATCGTACTTTCTACAAAATGTGCGTGATATGCAATAAAAATAGATAACTGCATAACATTGCTTTTCCTAAATCATATTTTTGGTATTAAATAAAAATCTAATTAGATTCCTATTGCATATATTGTAATAGGATTTTCTAGTTATGCTTAATGTTTGTGATATTGATAATGATTTACATCAATTTTGATCATATCTTATTATTTGTGAAGTTATTTTATTTATTTTTACAGGGATTTTATACATATAAAAGATTTCTTTTTCAAGTATCTATTTCCCTTCATTTTCAGTTGCAAGAAATCTTGCGTCAACATTAATTTGTTTAAAATTGTGTATAATTCAACTAGCCGGAGAAAAGTTGAACGAACTGCATTTATTGTTTTTTTCTATGATTCATATAATATGGCTTCCACTATGATTTTAAAAATGATTTAGTTTCATACATACAATTCAATTAGCACCTTTTTACTCCGCAATCATTTTCATATCTCAACCTGCATGAAAAAAAAATAGTTTTGAAACTTTCGGAAAGTAAAATTCAAAGAATGAAATTTTTGAATTTAAAGCTTTCAACAAACATGCTATTTATTTCATTACAAAAAACTATGAAAACACTAGAGAATCAATATCAATTAAAATTGTTTTTAGTTTTTCCAAATTATACAGGTATCGTTTCATTCATTTCTGAATACTAGACTTTAATACATACTTTATAAATGGCAATGAAGAATAGGAACAGACAATCGAGAAAAAATTTGAACAGTTTCTAAATTTTGAACAGTTTCTAAAACATTACATAACCGTTTTAATCTAATGTTTTAATGTAGTATTTCTCCATATCTTCTTTCTGAAGAACCACTTATTCAAAAATAATATACGTAAGTGCGTTTGTATGGTGCTGTAATAAAAAACGATAATTGGAACATTCATTTCTCTGTTATTGTAGTACATACTAGTTGAAATCGGTACACTTTCACTTATAGATTTATGTTTTATGCGCCTTTAAAGCGATCATGACTATGCTATACATGTACATATTTGCATTAAATATGTATTAATTTTCTTTAATAATGGTTTACTTATCATTATTAATAATTTACCACTCAGTCACATCTATATATTCCTATATTATATTGCACAATGCAGTTTGAGGAGTTATTTATATGTCATACTTTAAATGTTACTTTATCGATTTTGCATTCATAGCGAACATTGTAATCACAACGAAGAGCAGTGATAATATCCACTTTGTCTACTATATTTATCACAATTTATAATAACATATATTATTTATAAACAAATATTTATTTTTACTCGTGTTTGTAAGCCTTGTTTTGTGATGTTCTTGATTTCTTTTTTAGTTTAAATCAAATTAATCCGTAAGAAAATTGTTTAAATTTTCTTCAAATGAGTTAGTTGCCTTAAGGGGTTATTCTAGTCATTTTCAAATCATCATAAAAATAGGGCATTTATTATTTTACTATCATTTATTTCTTTATCACCGTTACAAAGGTACAGAAAAAAGTAAAAAAAAAAGAAATTAATAATTTTAGAAATTAGCAGTTGTTGAAATGGGGGTTTTCAAAAAATTGACTTGTGACCATGCCCCCGATTGCACCCCCCTCTAAAAATCTGAAAAGATAGAAGAAAAAAGATTATTAATCTAGAATGATGTTTCAATGGCATATACTAGGATTAATTAAAAAATGGAGTATTTTGGTGCAGAAATTCAAAAAAAAAATTCTGAATGACGACTATTTGAAAAAAAGAACTGATTTTCTTACCACTTTTTTAGGTTCTCGATTTTTTTTAAATAGTTAAAATTTAAATTTGGGGATGATGCTAGTATATACTTGGGAGAAGTCTATAAAGAAGATTTTCTGAAAATTTCAAATAAATGAGCCCATTAAAACTCTAGAAATCGTGGGCGTCGTATTCAAAAGGACAATTTTGAGAAAAACGCGTTTGAAGTTTTGCAAAAGGAAGGAAACATAAGAGGATTATCATGGTCAAAAACCTGTATCTCTGAAAATAATTTAAATTTTAAAAAATCCTCTCATACACATAGTCTTAAATAGCTGATTGAGCTTCGAAAATATAGAACAGAAAAAAACGATTTTTTGAATTTCTGCACTAGAATACCCCCTTAACTATTTATACTGCACTTTACGACAGGGCAAGATATTATTTCGACAACCCGCATTGCGTGTTATATATATATATATATATATATATATATATTAGGGTGGTCCTTAATGTGGACATTTTCGAATTTCTTTGCTCCCATGGGCTCAAATGGTTTCAAATTGATAACTATTTGAGCCTTTGGGAGCAAGGAAATTCGAAAATGTCCATATTAAGGACCACCCTAATATATATTTATATATTAATTTTTTTTTCTTTTAAATCCATTAACTATATCTATGACTGGATAGAGAATTCACTTCTCAATTTGAGATATAAATTGAATGTTCTTACGTTTGCTCTGCTGTTGCAAAATGCAGTCAGCTGACTCATCAGTCTTTAGCGAAACCGCTTTCGATAGTATTTACTCATTTGCAATTGCCAAGTGGAAGAATATAGGAGGAAACATACAGTACCTACAATTTCTTGCTTAATTACTCCCAAACAAATAATTATGGACAGCTTTTGATATCGTAGGAAAAAACTAGAGAGTATAAATAAATAGTTTTATACACACCTAATATTTTTGGACATGTTTGTAACAGTTATTGATGTCTTGAAATTAATCGTTATTTATCATATTCTATTTTCTCAATACAATTTATATTTAATTTGAATTGTTATCATAATATACCCAGTTTATATTAGTAAGGTATCTTAGTACTTTGGTACCAATAATAATATATGAGCATAGTTTAAATTAATTTTTGCTCATGGTCTTTGCTTAGTCATTGGCATTTGGAACGCTATAAAATCAGAGTTCGTCATAACATATATTCATAAATATAAAATTAATACTCCTGAGAAATAGCGTTAAAAATACATAGTATGAAATATACGCAGATCACAACTTATCTGACTATTCGCTCTAAATGTATAAAGTATAAAAGATAAAATATTATTTATAAGCAAGGAGCCTAATTAAATAATCCAGAAACATATTTTTGAATTGCCTCAGTTGTATATAAATTAAGAGACAATTGCGCATTTTTTTCTGGGAAATTTAATGAGTAAATTCTATTTTGCTCATGTATCTAATCTTTCTTGAATTGGCCATCATACGTTTTGAAACTAGATGTGGATTATATAAATTCTGTTCTACAATTTCATAAAGGGTTTTGCTTTGAATGCGGAAATGCAATAATAAAATCTTTATCCAAGGTAAAAGTTTTCAGATTTTTGAATTTATGAAAAATTAATGAGATTTAATTTCATAGTACATCCAATTATTTGTGATTTTTTACTATGTTGGTTCTATTTTTAGAAATTAGTATTTCGGTACCTAACATTTCTCATACTCTGGACTCTGATTAGGCGAGACGCGTGCGCGGATCAATAATCCTTTGACGTCGAATCTCTTGTATTATTTATAATAGAGAATATTTACCGATTTTGGTATCATATTAGAGATTCGAATTAAATAAATTAAAAGATTCAGTTTGCTTCTCCAAATGAATGCTACGTTATTTGGAAATATTGCGGTTAATTTAGAAATATTTGCGGTTACAGAATTGTTCCATATCTCGTTAGCTTGATGAAAGGCGCGTGGAAAAATTCAAAACATTTTTTTTGCAAGTGATTGTCAGATTTAAAGTCTCAGATAGTAAAAAAAAATTAAAATATTTAGGTTAAACATAACTCAAAATCAAAGCCCTTATTTGATTCAAAAGTGTTATTATTACAAAGATTATTTTTATCATTTTCTTATACTTATTACTAATTCTCCACGGAACGTATTTGATTTCAATTAATTTTTAATTTACGAACTTTTACTTTTGCACCTGATGATTTATTGTTGGCCAGACTCTACTATAGAGTAAACGCTTTCTTTTTTTAATTCCATTAACTTAGATCATTATTTAATTGCGTTTTACACATTTTCAAACAGGTATATTGAATCTATCGTGTACAATTTTTTGTGGATGTCAGAAAAATGATAAAGTTGGCGATAATATTTTACATTCGGTTCCTAACGTTTTCTCACTTTTGATTTTTAGATTTATACCTCAATTAACGAAAAAGTAAGAAAGGGATGGCCGTCGAATAAAATGTGGTGCTTTTACACCATAAAATTGCTACTTTGGAGTATCAATAATAATACTAACACAATTGATGTCAATGTCTGTAATATTATATAATAAGATGATTCTTCTTCAAGGCACTGTTTTTGCGACGTGACTAGATCTTACCTTTCATAATAATTTTTACCTTTAATTAACTCGCCAATTTTGAATTATTTATATTTCTTTCAAACGCTGTTTTTACTTTTATTTTTGGGTAAGGTATTGTAACTGAAGTAACTATTTATTGAGTAAAATATTGTAAACGGTATGTTTATTCGTTTTATTGAAATAATTTACAAAATAATTCTGGCTAAAGGCGTGATCATCGGAGCGTGATGGCTGCTGAAAGTTTACAACTCAAATCAGTAGTAATACTTACACAGAAATATTTTGAAAATTACATTATTGGCTATCTTTAACAATTGAATATATGGTTACTTTAAATTATAAAAACGTTGATTTGAAATAGCAATTCATATTTTGAAGTTGTTGGATTCATTTATAGTTTATAAAATTTTTATGATAAATTATATTACATCATTTTTTTATTTTTTTTGTTCTATTTTTTTATTTATATTATATTTATGGAGAGTACTTTATTTCTTTAATATTATAAAATGCATGTGAAGCTTGATAATAAGTTAATTCAGAATTAAAAATCTGTGAAAGTTCCTTATTCTGCATGTGTTACCAATAAGAAGGAAAATACTAAGATATCACAAACTAGAACTCGCGGAGTTGCAATCTGTAAAATCGATTTTTGTATTGCAATCAAGGCGTTGGCTTTCTTCCATAGGTAGCATGTTTTAGTATTGACAAAAAGCTGCAATTTTTCTGACTTTCGTGATTTTTGGTTAGAAATATATACCAATATTGAATTCAAATGTTATGCGAAATTTGCATTCCCTTGCTAAAAATTCATCTGTATATATGGTCTCATTGCTGTGTGTTAAATTATATTCTATAAAAAAAATGCATGACGTTCCTCGTGGTTTACCGCAAGCTAAACTAAATTTTATTTTTGTTATTTCTTTCTATGAGAAGTACATGCATTCAAAGTACATTAATATAGATTGGTAATATTATATGCAGTCACCTTAAGTTGTATATATTTTTTTGTATTAAATCATCTGTAATAAATTAGTTACATTATGAGACTTTTAAACCTATAATGATTCATAGTCAGTATTGGTTCGAGTACTTTCATTTTTATAAATTCAAGTACCGCATTGACGCAATTATGATTCAAATTATGAGGTTTCTAATAAGACAAATGAAGCATTTGATTGAACTAAATATTGTATATTTATATAAGCAATAAGCAGAATAATTTCTAAGTTCTAATCTTGTTATTGGTGTATGTATTACATAATTATATTATTAACTTCCCGTAGGGTAAGTTATAGTAATCGCAAAAAAATCGAAAATGAAGATTTTTATATATTTTTACGTTTCAGAGGTTTCTGAATCTTTTGGCATACCTTAAAAAAAATGGATGTATGTGTGTGTGTGCGTGTGCGTATGTGTGTGCGGATACAAATTTTCGTCGACGATTTCGGGAACACGGATGAAGCGATTTGAATAACACAAAAAACATTCAATTCGTATTGATAAGGAGACGTGCTGTTTAGTTTTTGGCAAATGCAGGTCTAGCCGTTCCGAAGATATGGGGCAAAAAGTGCAAAAACGGTAACTCAGTTTTTAAGAAAACGGAGCGTCCGATTTTAATAATTCAACATTTTACTTGTATTAATACGATGAAGAACTGATCAAATTTTCATGAAGGCAGGTCTAGCGGTTTCGGAGATCTAGTGAAAAAAGAAAAAAAAGCCATTTGACGGTCAAAAATGATCATTAGACATATGCACACCAAATTATCAGATATTTTTTAGAGATTTTAACAATAAGTATAAATTTTGTTTACATTCCTATGGGTTTCGTACCAATGCTTATCCGTTAGACGGCGACGCGGCGCTTAAGCGCTTCGATATTTCGTCTCTATGCAGTTCAAGCAGTACGATTGCTTTGAAAAAAAGTTCAGAATTTCCAAAATATTTCAAAATAAATGTTTCATCAAAAAGTTTTTATTTTAAAAAAAAAAGTAAATATTTGTCAAAAATTTATAGTTTCTCAAAAATCTAATTTTTCAGAGTAAATTTTTTTCAAATATGTTAATCTTTAAAAAAAAAAAAAAATGGTACGGGAAGTTCCAGCAATTTGCCTTAAGGCACGATGCCATGCGCCCCACTAGTTCAATATCATATTCTAATTTTCTTGAATTATCTAATTCATTAATTTTATTTACATTTATAGGATTTTTGTTATGTTTTTCTCCTTTGTTATTCCATGCGTATTACGCCGTTGCATCCCTGCGGCGTCGGACTTTTCGCGTCTGCGCCAAAAGGTCGGAACAGCCAGACTTTTCTCCGCATGTTCGATCCGCCTCGTAAAACCTCGCCCGCTCGATAAAAATATGCCAATGTTTCAATAACTTTCTTTATATAGAATAAAATGTATGTGTAAGCTATAAAGCCACTATAAGCCTTTTGTATTTTGATACTATTCTTCAGTTAATTGAAGATCATATTTTTTTATACGACCTGCGATTTATTTTTCTTTTTATATTTTCCTCTTACTTACTCATTTATTTTCACTTAATTAAACGTACCTACTAACAATACCTAAAATTTCCATACAACGCCTGAAAGGTATATCACATTTTTATTTGGATCATGTCTATCCTTTAAAATGTCTTTAAGATTCATTAAAAAATCTTACAAATTTATGCCATCACATTTTTACCGTTCATACTTTTATTAAATAAGAAATTCCACCATGCAACAAGCATGCGATGAGATCATTTTTTAAAAACTTGATTATATGTTTGTACATATATTATATACGTCGATGATTGTATGACTAAGTAGATAATACCAAAATACATGATATATAATTAGCCAAGACTACTTTTTGTTTCATTACGAATATTGAATAGTCAAGGAACTTACGTTTTTATATATTTTTTGTGCCCATCTTAAGATATAGGGTCTTATGGTCTGTAACCTTCATCAATCTTGGGTTGTATTCAGACTTGTATTCCTCCTCCCGCTGCTCCAGCCTCTCTATATTCCTAATTTCAATAAGGGAGTATATCAACACAATGTACAAAATGTATAGATGGTAGATACGAATCTTCACAAACTCGAAACAAGGTCAAGGCTTAAGGTTTCAAGGGCTTTTCTGTGTAATTCTATAGGGCTGCTTAATGTGCTGGGAATTTCCAAACAGAGATGAAAGTTTTACTTTACATCAATATTCTTAATATAGGTACGTCATTTAATCTATGTTGTTGATTTTAATCGTTATTGTTTAATAGAAAGATAAATCATTATGAATATTTCCATTATTAGAATGTCGACCAACTACAAATATGATCAATTTATGTTTTATAAGAAAATCAGATAAAGGATAATTCTAATGTCTTTATTTTCTTCTAGGATTTAAAAAGTTTTATTGCAATCTGCAAATGAAATACATTTTTAAAAGTTTTTTACAAAAAACTAGACTTTATTTCTTTCTCCCCATTATTTGGTGCAGTGTAGTTCCAGAAAGTGAAATTGTTACTAAATATCAGGATAACGCAATCTTCCTACAATCACTTTGAGAAAGATTTTATGATTGCGTACTACTATGATTCATACTTTATTAATAAATCATATACGTTAATATGTGTAGTTCACATATAAAACTTGTATCCCATAATTATAAAAAAAATTGAGAAATTTTGTAGTACTCGGTTAATTTTTTTTAGATTAATAAAGGTTTGAAATATTAACGTGACAGATTTTTTGCTATGTTAATTCGATCTAAATACTTTATCAATATCTATATAATCTTACAATTTGAAATAAATTATATATTTCATTTTAAATTTAATTAGAATTTATTTATTTATGGTTTAAATGTTAAATGATAAAATCAATGTTTCGTTGATAAAAAAAATCTTATAATATAATCGATTTATTAATAAACCATGACCGTATTTTATTAATGTATTTTGTATTACATAATTTATTTATTCAAATTTCTTATTTTGTTATGTACATTATATTTAATATGGTTACTTATGCAAAAAAAAATTTATAAAAGTACATATGTAGCTCATATTTTCTGGTTGACTAATTGTATGCAATGAAATTTTTAAAATTTAAACTAAATATGCAATGTATTTGAATATAACTATTAACGTGATTCATATTAAGTAAGTATGAATATTACAAGAATATAACAAGTAGCAAACCTTATTATACATTTGATACATTTATAAATTAAACTGGAGTAATTAAACTGGATAATAATATTATTTATTATCTAGTATCTCGAAGGTTTATGGATTCGTCGTTTATGCTCATCGCTTTTGTCCTGATCGACTTGTAGAAATATATTTAGGTTTTGGGACGAGATGCTAAATTATATCACGAAAAGTTAACGTTTTAGAAAATATTTCAAGAAAGAACTTACAATTAAGCATGTGGTTTACTAATAATTATGTACTATGTTGCATTTGCTCCATTTCACACACATGTGCTCTTCTTGATTCAATGTATGTAAATTAATAACTGCTAACACTATACAAAATAATTTGATGTTTATCGAATAACGGTGATTTTCTTCGACTATAATTTACTGTTGTTGCGACTATTAAATTATATTTTTTTTAATTCTATGGCTATTTTATTAAATTTTCTGTGTGAGATTCAAAATCAGTACTCATCTTTTTCCTTTACAGGGCAAAGTATACCTATTCGATAAAGTATTTAAGCCCAATGCAACACAAGAAAAGGTATACAATGAGGCTGCCAAGAGCATCGTCTCAGATGTATTGGCTGGATACAATGGAACTATTTTTGCATACGGTCAAACTTCCTCCGGAAAAACACATACCATGGAAGGTGTCATAGGTACTTGATCAATAATATATTGAAAACTTTTTTTTATTTAAAAAGTAATGCTCTGGATTGAACTCAATTAATGTTTTGCAGGCGATCCTGGTAAGCAAGGTATCATCCCCCGCATTGTCAACGATATCTTCAACCATATATATGCGATGGAGGAAAATTTAGAATTTCATATAAAAGTTTCATATTTTGAAATTTACATGGATAAAATAAGAGATCTATTAGATGGTAAGTTTATTGAATTTAATAATGTTTATAAAAAACATTGATATTATGAAAGATTGCTACAAATATGTCGGTTGTTTTTCAGTATCAAAAGTAAATTTGAGCGTGCATGAAGACAAAAACAGAGTTCCTTTTGTGAAGGGTGCCACTGAGAGATTTGTTTCAAGTCCCGATGAAGTTTTCGAAGTAATTGAGGAAGGAAAATCAAATCGTCACATTGCAGTCACAAGTAAATAATATTCATTAGCAAATATTATTTTATGTCCTCATTTTTTATTATGATGTATCTTTGTAGACATGAACGAACACTCCTCTAGATCACATTCGGTGTTTTTAATTAACGTTAAACAAGAAAATTTAGAAAATCAAAAGAAGCTATCTGGAAAACTATATCTGGTAGATTTAGCCGGTTCCGAAAAAGTTTCAAAAACCGGAGCCGAGGGTACCGTTTTGGACGAAGCTAAAAATATTAACAAATCACTATCAGCCCTCGGAAATGTTATATCTGCTTTGGCCGATGGCAATAAAACGCACATTCCTTATCGAGATTCGAAACTGACCAGGATTCTTCAAGAGTCTCTCGGAGGTAACGCTAGGACGACCATTGTGATCTGCTGTTCGCCGGCTAGTTTTAACGAATCCGAAACTAAGTCGACATTAGATTTCGGAAAGAGGTACATATATTAAAAATGAGTGTAAATTTTTAAAACTGCATTTCAATTAAATTTACTTTTTTCAGAGCCAAGACTGTGAAGAACGTTGTATGTGTGAACGAAGAATTGACTGCTGAAGAATGGAAGCGTAGGTACGAGCGCGAAAAAGAAAAGGTCGTCCGACTCAAAGGCAAGGTTGAAAAACTTGAAGAAGAATTGGCACGTTGGCGTGCTGGTGAAACGGTTAATCCTGACGAACAAATCAATTTACAAGATGTTATGGAAGCATCCACGCCAGGAACTGGTTTAGATGCCAATGCAGCCGCGGCTGGTGATCTTCCTGTGCCCGCCACTCCAGCCGGAGTCGTACTGGTAATTATTTTTAAAATAGAATCACTAATTTTCTTATCAAATTTAATAGTTTGAAGGTCTTCATTTCTAATAAACTTTTCTAAATCTATTCAATGAGTTAATTTACTAGATTAAAAATGGTTTAATTTGCTACAGGGACAAACTGTGATGAATATGAGTATAACTAATGAGGAACGAGCTCGATTTGAGTCAGAAAGAGAACGTCTGTATCAACAACTTGATGATAAAGATGAAGAAATTAACCAGCATTCACAATATGTTGAGAAGCTTAAGGAACAAATTTTGGAGCAAGAGGATCTCATTGCCTGCACGAGGTAGGATTTTTGTATTATCAGCATTATTATGTGAGGTTGAATATTAATATGGATCATAATTGTAGACAAACATTATGGACCATAATTGTAGGCAAACTCATGCTAGTATTTTGTTAATGTTAGGTTCACGAGCTATTCTGTCTTTTATTTTAGGCGAGATTATGAATCTCTTCAAGGTGAAATGAATAGGATTCAGCAAGAAAATGAAAGCGCGAAAGAAGAAGTCAAAGAAGTATTACAAGCTCTTGAAGAGTTGGCTGTGAACTATGATCAAAAAAGCCAAGAAGTTGATTCTAAAAACAAAGAATTTGAATCAATCACCGAAGAATTATTACAAAAACAATCAGTACTAAACACAACATCTACAGAACTGCAACAATTAAAAGATATGTCAGCTCATCAGAAACGTAGAATTACTGAAATGTTGACAAATCTTTTACGAGATTTGAGCGAAGTTGGTGTAGCTATCGGCGGAGAAGGGGCTGATATGAAGGTGGGACAGAGCTTATGTTGTTTGGTTTATTAACAATTTACAATTCTAAACATCGTACTTTAATTTGTAAATATAAAAATATGTTGTAATTTTTTCCTTGTGTTGTATTTATATATTGGGATGTGGTCACTAGTTTATCTTAATATATTCATAATTATATTTCTGTTTACTTATTTTTATTTTAATCATGCATTAATACTATTTAATTTTTTATAAGAATGTTATTCATGAATATTTGCTTGAATCTGGATCAGTACTGATGTGATTGATTGAATGGTATGATTGTGGATAAAAGCAAGGTAAATCATTTTATTTGTCATTATTATTATCTCATTAAGCATTATATTATTGCATAAGATAATATTTAAATATATTACTGAAGATACTAAAGTTAATTAGTTAACTAAAGATTTTTTTATATTCTATTCTTTTTTATATTCTAAACCAAATTAATTACAGATAAATGCAGATAGCGCCGGAAAACTTGAAGAAGAATTTACTGTAGCGCGTCTTTTTATTAGCAAAATGAAATCAGAAGCTAAGAATCTCTCCCAGAGATGCCAGGGTCTCGAGACCACTCAACTGGACTCAAACAAGAAAATTACAGAATATGAAAGAGATTTGGCTGACTGCAGGTTGTTGATAAGTCAACATGAGGCAAGAATGAAAAGTTTGCAAGAATCGATGAGAGAAGCAGAAAACAAAAAGAGAACTTTAGAGGAGAACTTGGATGCTCTAAGAGAAGAATGTGCAAAGTTGAAGGCTGCAGAACAAGTGTCTGCGGTTAGTGTAGAAGAGAAAGAAAAGGCAGCACAACTAAGAGAAGCCTTGGAAGGTCAGATGGATCATTTAAGAGATGCCCATCAAAAGCAGGTGGCTATGTTAAGAGATGAGATTTCAGAGAAGCAAGAGATGATCAATGAATTGAAAGAGTAAGTATCAATTATTATCTCTATAATGAGATGAATTTTAATATTTGTTTTTATACTTGCAGTTCCAACCAAAAACTTACTTTGGCTCACCAGCAGATGACCGCTGATTATGAGAAGCTTCGACAAGAGGAAGCCGATAAATCAACGCGACTTCAAGAATTAATGTCAGTAAAAAATAATTTTATTTCATCATCTCTTCCATGCTCACCTAATCGTAATCTTATAAAAAAATCTAAACTGCCCTATTTTAATATCCCCTTGACAAAATCTTGCAAAAATGTTCTAAATTCTACGACCAAGGTTACACAAACAAATTCTGCCTGTGTGCCTGTTTCCAACAGCAATTATAATAAGACCTACAGCTATTACATAAATACCTTACATTTGCATTTACTATTATCAATTACCATGATTTTGGTCACAAAAGATTGTCCACATTACTTGATAGAGTTCTAAGAAGCTTTTATTAGTAAATGAAACAGTATTTTACGCATATTAAGTATATTGCTTATAAATTTAAAAAACTGATATGCAACAATATTAACGTTTTCTTTAAGTAATTATTTTTATACATATTTTCTAATGTGATATTTTTATAGTATAATTGCTTTTAACCATGAGCCGTTGAAAGTTTAGTGCAATAAATTATATAATGTAGTGAACATTTTATGAGCAATGAAGTTCATAAAGTACTTTAAAATTTGATACAAAAATGTGCCTAGTCTTCGCTAATAATATTTGAATGTAATTTAAATTTTCGGTGTATAAGGAACAAGAAGTATTTTAAGAAACTGTCACATATCATTGAGTGGCAATATTGTTTTAACGCTCAATCATTACAAATTTAATTATATTGTAAATGATATAGCTAAGTATTATGCTTTTATTTGTGATATTTTTTGTTACGTAGACGCTCTGTATGTCATTATCTTGCTCATTATACTTAACAAAAAGTAGCAGTACCTGTAAGATAAAAAAAATTAGTAGATTGAACAAAATAGTAACTATTGTGCTAGAAATAGTGTGCAAGAACGCAATATCGGCATACAAAGTGTCAATTTAAACTTTATGTCTGTACTGCTGTGTTAATTTCAAAGTGATTTTAGCTTTAATATTTCTAAATGTGATGTTCTATATTCAATACCATACATTACAGAATAATATGTAATTCTGTTTTAGGCGACTGTCACGGGTTGTCATTAATATGCTGTAAAGCCAGTTTTGCTTTTAGATTCTTTAGCAAAATTTATTTTTTATTTTTATTTGCAATTAGATTAATTTTTATTTTGTGATAATGATCGCCATTCTTATTGTATTTTTATCACGTGGACGCGACAGTTTGTAAGTCGATTAATGTTAAACAGACAACCTATGACAAATTTTTATATAAATGCTAAATAATATTTTTATATTACTATTAGTTTGCGATGTTGTTTTATGCCGAGATTATTTTTATTACACGCATTTTTGTAAATATACTTTTGCAAATTCTTCCATGTGCAATTTTTAAATAAAATTGTTGATAGATATAAGCTGTACTAAGAGTGGTAAAATAAAATGAAATGACTAATTAGAAAATTATGCAAGCAATGACAATACACACCAAATGTTAAAATAGCGAATTGCGATCGTTTTTTATTGTTCATTTAATTTTTGTTTTCAATTTTTTTTATTTTGATTTATTTCTTATCGCTTATTTTTATTATAATCATAAGCATATGAAAATTGGTTTCTAACGATAAACAAATTTAAAACTAATTGAAAAATGTAAATAACAAATAATAAATAATTCACTATATATTTTATAATACATAAGTCTATATAAATATATTTATAAAAAAGTGTATTTTAAATTTAAATTGTTAATTGCTTGTATAGTATTATTCTCATGTGTACATAATTGTAAATTAAAAAATTGTTGAGTATTGATATAAAATATTGTTTATTTTACCACTTTTTAGTTAACAGTTTTAACATCTATCAAGTAAGTCGTAATTCATGTACTATTTCATTTGAAACAAAAATTTCTTAACTATGTTTATATTTTATAGATTAACAAACGAGCGCAGAGAACAGGCCAGAAAGGATTTGAAGGGGCTTGAAGATACTGTTGCAAAAGAATTGCAAACTTTGCATAATTTACGAAAGTTGTTTGTTCAAGATTTACAGGTATGAAACTTATAGTTTGTACAAATTGAAATGAAAATGATAGATATATTTGAATTACATTAATAAATTTTGAGGTGAGAAAATATTATAAGAGCTGAAATATATTTTCTAAATATTGCATATCATTTTGAAGCTCTATGAACTTTAGTATTCACGCAAGCTAAGCTCCAACACATTAGAGAACTTTATTTTCTATTGATCTCTATCAATTTTGATATTATATTAATATTTTATTAGATTCATTTCTTACAAAGAAACATTGGCTTATTTTTCATGTTTTAGTGGATATATAATTTTTTTTTTTTTTTACTTGAAATAGAGGAATCCATATTTATTATGACTGTCTCTTCTGCTCTTAATAACTTTGTTTAAAATGTGACTTTAATTTGCAGTCGCGAATCAAGAAATCGGTATCTGCTGAAGATAATGAAGAAGATGGTGGATCTTTGGCTCAGAAGCAGAAGATCTCATTCTTAGAAAATAATCTTGATCAACTTACCAAAGTGCACAAACAATTGGTGCGCGATAACGCAGATCTGCGATGCGAGTTGCCCAAACTGGAAAAACGTTTAAGAGCTACCATGGAAAGAGTGAAGGCTTTGGAAACTGCTTTGAAGGTACATACTTAGAAAACAGATATTAATATTTGAATTTTTTAATACTGAAGTATATTTTTTTGTATTTGTTTTAAAGCAAATATTATTAATAGTTTTGTTTGTGTATTGCAGGAGGCCAAAGAAGGTGCGATGCGTGATCGCAAACGATATCAGTTTGAAGTTGATAGAATTAAGGAAGCTGTCCGCCAAAAGAACTTGGCGCGCCGTGGACCAAGTGCCCAAATCGGTATGTGTGGAATAAATTGTAGATCAACTTTAATTCAATATAATAATTTATTAAACTGTTAATATAATAGTTAGTAAACAAATGGCAGTAATTAAATTTTATTTTAGCCAAACCAATCCGAGCTGGACAAGGTCATATTACAGGTCAGGGCATTCGACCTATTATTCCAAATAACATGACTGATCCGGCAAAACGCAAGATGGTCCATGTTGGACGTGGAGGTAAGAATCCTAACTATATTTTTAAATTATATCTCTTACTAATGTATGAATAATTAAAATATTTTTTATAATGTTGCAGATGAGAGCTGAATCTTAGAACTTAGAAATAAGATCATTATTTAAATATACATATGACAAATTAAAAAATTACTGTCATACTATATTCTTATAAATAGGCATATAAATTTATTTGAATGTATGCACTCGAAAAGGATTTTGTTAAGTGCAATATAAACAATATATCTAGCTTGATGTGGCGTTGCAAAACTACTGTTAGCATGCATTGCTATAATTAAGTCGGATGCTTGGAAATAGTGCTATAGTCTAATTCTTGGATGGAGTTTGCACTATAAATTGCTAATATTCAAGATTTCTCAAACCTCTGCAGTTCTATATTTCTTATTTTCTATGTTATTATCTATTAGTTTGTTAACTTGGTTTTGAGTTCTGAACTTGAGGCAGTTAATTAGTGCACCTAAGATGATTCGGTTAGTAGTTATAGAATTGTATAAATAAGTTATTTTTAGAGATGATTTTAATTATTATGGAGTATTAAGCATTATATTTATATAAGGTATTTATTTTAATGTTTTTATAAGCATTTCAGTGATTTTTATGTACTTTGGAAATATTTTACATAAATGTTTCACTTCATTTTACAAGATTTTAATGTGAATTTTATTATTTTATGTAAATTTTAATAAAACAAATCAACATCTAAATAGGTTAATTTTAAAGAAATTGCTAATAGATATGCGCAGCATTCATTTTGTTTTAGAAATTCATTTAAAAATGAACTATTTTGCGATGTAAAATGATAAACTAAAACCAAAGCTTGTATATATTTAAATGTCTCTAAATAAAAGGAATACAATCATTTATTTATATCAATCATTGATTTTTATACATTGACTTAGCTTTGCTGTTATAAAATTATTGTGTTTGAACTATTTACATGTTTGTATGTGAATTAACAAAGATATAGACATAAATCTTGACAAAAACCTGGTGCTTTTGCTCAAAGAATTTATGTCATAATATATCAATACCTTAATTTTATTTATGGACAAGGCAAATTTGTTGTCAATTAGTTTTTTAAGTATTCATTGATGAATTGTCAAATATACATTGCAATGTGATAAAAAGCTTTTTAAAATATTTTTCATAATTATATTTAGCAAGGCAATTGATGATAATAAATAGGTATTTTCTTTAAAAAATATGTATTATAACTAGCTTGACTTTAATAAATTCAGTATGGGCAAAATATTGTGTTTTTCTTATTATTAATTTTTCTTGTTTGAAGCTTTTAATTAATTTTTAGTAATTTCAAATCAGTATTTTTCAGTTATCTACATAGTATTCAAAAGAGGCGAGCACGGATAATTTGAAGAATTCTGTAGAATATATATTTTTAAAACCATATTTATAGAAAGTATTTAAATATTAAATGTAGTTTTGAAACTTTACTGATTCGGCCCTGTTTTCAATATTTACATTATGTCAGTGATACCTTATTTGGTCGTTATGTTTGTATTTCAGCATGTGCTATGTGCGTTGGCGCTTTGAATGTGTGAGTTACGAAATATAGGTGAAAACCATGTAAAACACATTAAGAGTGACTCAATGTTCGAGTGATTACTGTTATTACTCATGTTCACATTTGATTTTTTTAAAGCTTTATTTATACATTTTTCTTTAAATCACTATACTTATAAAGTAATATTTAGTAGTGGAGTCTAAACATTTGAAAACGACTTTGTTACATCAAGACTATAGTCTAATGGTTTCAAGAGTTTAAAATCGAAATTAAAAGTTTCATTGTACCAATAAAGAGGATAATAATGAATTATGAATTTTTTCTAAACAAGATAAAATTAGCGAAAAGAGATATTTGTGAAACTGGAGATGAAGTGGGTTCATTGGAACACATCATTTTTATCTGTAAACATTATGAAACAAATAAATATTATTATATAATTATGAAAAAATAAATATGTTAATTTTAAATAAAAATAATTAATTAAGTTAAGTTAATTAGAAATATTATCAGCTATATAATCATCTATTAATTTTTTATTTAAATCAAAAAATGAAATAAAATAATATAAATTATTTTATTTTATATAGGAAAATAATTTTGTTTTAGTTGTATTTTGTGTACACATTTGATGTAACTAGTTTTATAAATAACTAATGCCCATAAATGAATACATATAAAAATTATTATAACTCTTTCTTTCTTTTATCTATGTGTTTAACTTTAATTGTAAATATATTTTATTATTTTTGAAAACTTCTCTTAAATTATTTGTCTACTAAAACTGAATAGAAAAAGTGATAGTCTCAAAACGTTCAAAAAATAAACATTTACTTAATATTGAATTATTTTTTAGTGGTTGAAATAAATCAAAAACTATATTATTTAGTATTGGTTCTTAAACATAAGACGACATTTTCAAACAAAAGCTTCCAAACTTCTACTTACATGCTTTCTTGTCTTGTATCATGGCTTTTTAATCTTCATTATTTTTATTATCTATTATTTTTCTTGTTAATAATGTACATCATTTCAGTATTGTTAATATTAAACGAGTAGGGTAAGTTATAATAATGGGCCGAAAATCACGTTTCTGAACATTTTGGCATACCTCGGATGTGTGATTTGAATGGTTTAAAAAACATTCTATTCCTATTGATAGAGAGATGTGCTGATTAGTTTTTGACAAAGGCCGGTCTAGCGGTTACGGAGATACGGAGCAAAGAGTGCAGAAAATAGAAATCGAGTTTTTTAGTGAACGAAGTATCGTTTGATCCAAATAACATTAAATTCGTAATGATTGGAAAAAGTGTTGATTAGTTTTTGGCAAAGCAGATACAGCCATTTCGAAGATACAAAGGTAAATGCACAAAAAATGGCAGTTTTTGAGAGAAATAAACATCCGATTTGAACAGTGCTGGATTACCCCATAGGCCCGTGAGACCCGGGCCTAGGGCGGCACAATTTGGGGGGCGGCAAATTTTTCCGATTTTTTTTTGTCACGGCAATTTATTTTAAGGATTGATCTTGATCTAGATAAGTCTCTATGAAATAGAATGTTATTCGTTTTCTAATCAAACTTATTCAAGGGCGCCTCATTAATATTTTTAGTGATGTATCATGTTTAAAATAAAAATTATCAAATTAATAAGCTTTTTTGTGAGAAATGAAATAAAATAAAACTAGTGGGGTGTATGGCATTGTGCCTTAAGGCAAATTGCTGGAACTTCTCGTACCGTAACGAAATGTATATATAATCAAATACAACGTATTTATACAAATAATACTTCACAATCCAATCAAATATATGAATCAAACAGAACTAGATGCAAATATTAGCAGTAATAATTTCGACCATCTCGCCACGAAGGTTGAATTATGACTGATTGTGGGGTACAATAAACTTTTCGTATTGCACCCTCTATGGTTCCGAACCCGAAACTATTCAATTAGATAACAATTTTTGAATTTTAGTATCATCTGGTAACAATTCATAGTTTTGTCCCTTTCTGACCCCAATAAAAGAAGTGCGTAATAACAACTAAAATCATTCTGTATTTGGACCTCACGGTGGACAATGCAGTCAGTGGTAAGTCTTTCAAAAAATATTTATGTATTATGTAATCATTTCGTGCATTCAGTTTCAAATACGTGTCATGGAACTTGTGTTTTGGTTAATTCGATTTGACTTGATTTTCTGTTGAATTATAATTATAAGAATGTAAATAAATTGAAGTAAAAATTCGTCTCTTTAATATTAAACGATTTGCGTTACATTTTCTAATTCAAAATATTTGTGCTGAAGTGTCGCCTCAGTGTTTATTGTTGTGAAAATATTTAATTTTATCCTTTGAGTTAACATAAATAATTCAATGCAATCTTTAGATTAATAAATTTAAATATAATTAAATAATATTAAATTCTAATATAAATGTTAAGGTTCAAATATTTACGATTGACTACATTTATTTTGTTTCAGATTTCATACAGTGTTTTGGGCAGTGGCGGATTGCTTTAGGAATTTATTGTGCATGAATTCTTTTTTATTTATTCACATTGACAATTTTTAATTATTTTTTATAATTTTGAGTTATTTGCGTCCACATTTTTTTGTTCGTGCGAGGACTTATTCGTAATTTTAATATTGTTTGAAACGATTTCCGCGTTTAAATGTGTTCCTGTCGCCTACCCCCCACGGCAGGTTCTAGTAATTCGCGTTTCGTTAATAAATTTTTTTTTCATTCGGTGTGTGGATCCTTGCGATGTTTTTCCCAGAAGCAACGCAACCCCATACACTTTAATTTCTAATCAGTATTATATGTACAATGTTTAATTTTTTGGAATTATTTTATTAGTAGCATGGATGTAAATAACTCGTTTAAAAATCTAAAAACTTTGTTAAATAAATTACTTGTTTTTATTTTGACTGATTTTTCTGCTGCAATGCAATGAATATGTTTTAATTAAATAATTTAAATTTTTTGTGATTGCACAATAAGTCTCCTAAACGGAGAAATGTTGAAGACGTACTGTTTGAAGTTAAAGAAAAAAGGTAAGATGATACAAAACCCTAAATTATGTAAAAAAAAAACAAAATTGACATTTATTTTAGTATAAATGGGCCTCGACTAAAGATACCAGGGGGTTGAGTACTACAACGAACAGGAGAACATGTGTACCGATATGATGTACCAGAGCACTGGAATAAATACGAGTAGGCTACCACATAGTATTTATAAGTCATTGTCTATTTCATTTCTTTCAAGTCACTTTTCATTTCAGGGTTGCAGAATTAATTTCTCACCACGACGACAAGCACCAGGACTGCTAGGAGATTGTGGTGGATTAAAAAGGTTGAAGGTACCCTTTTTGGGGTGCAATGACTGCTACTTGGTACATCTCTCATTGCGTTTTCCAGTATACAGGGTTTACCTTGGCGCCCCAATCTGACATTTAATAAAAACCGGTAATTATCTGTAGAGTGCATAACTAACTACACGAATGAAACAGAATCTATACTTATTAACTTATGTAATGTTACCTAGTTATTTTTGTAGATGCGAAGATATGACTATTTTTGTAGTCATGTCTTAAGCCTAAATTCTGATATACTATTGTTTTGGTTGATCAAAAAGCTTGAAATTATAGATGTGTATGATACGACGTGATGACAAAGGGGATCGCATACAATCGGACAACCCTCACTTTTTCTGGATTGTGTGTTCTTCGCCCATGGAACAACACACGCACCACTATACACTAACTGCCTCGAGGGTTTGTGTACTTCCGACTCGATTGACTACCTCAGAGGACTGATACTTAAAAAGTGATTGCGTCTTTGTAACGACAGCATGCAATGTTTCCAAAGGGTTGCACAACCTTTAGTGCAAACTACATCCGCCGCCCGCCTATATGGTTCCTGTCGTATGTGGTCCAGAGTCGCGATAAAGACTACATACATCATTTCCAAGGAGTTTCTAAACTAAATCCCCACCTGCCTATAAGGCTCCTATCGTATGAGGTCCGGAGTCGCGATCGTTTTTTAGTATCAGTCCTCTCAGGTGGTCAATCCAATACGGAGGACACAAGTTAGTGCATTAGTGATGGTTGTGATGTTGTGCCAGGGAAAAAGAACACGATCTAGAAAAATCCGATCGAGTTTTCCGATTTTAAGCTTTCCCCTGCGTAATTACGCCGTTCTATACATTATTAATCATTTCTAGCTTTATCGTTACCCCATCGTTAGTACATTCGAATTTAGGCTTAATGCATCACTATACATAAGTGCGGTCAAGCTCTCGGATCTGTAAACATAACTCGGTAACAATCAATAAGTTGGTAAGTAGATTCTGTTTTAATTGTGTAGTTAGTTAAAATCTCCACTGGTAACTGCAGGTTTTGTCGAATCGAATTAGGGCGTTAAGGTAAACCCTTCATATTGGGGAGTGAGATGCTAAACATACCAAATAGCAATCTTTACACTCTAACAAGAGTACCCTTAACCCTTTCAGTTCACCTCAATATGGATACCTACAGGTTTTCTCGTATTCATAAGTTAATATTAAGTAGTTAGATCTTAATTAGATATAAGTATAAAATATTTTTATTTTTGTTGCCGGGGCCCCGTTTGTATGTTCGTCCCTATTCTTAGGGGCACTTTGTTTTTTTTTTCTCATTTCAGATATCTTTCCAAGAATATTGCTTACCGAGCATACAGGTACTACCAAAAAACCTCTACCGAATAGAAAGACATGTGCAAGTGAGTACCAAGAACTATCTCCACAACCCACAGGAGAAAATTGGTCAGACTAATTGATGTATCAAGACATTAAAATTATTAGCATACTGCTAAGTAATATGTATAAATCTTTTTTCTTTATATTTTTTAAACCACTTTTTATTTCAGGCTTAGGGAATTAATTCCTTTTCGCGCCACAAAGCACCAGGACTTCCAAATAACTGCCAGGAGGATATGCATATGTAGAGGTTTTTATCGTATTATTGTTAATTAAACTTTAGTTATAACCATATAATTTTTTAATAATATAACCGGGGCCCCGTTTGTAAGTTCGTCCCTATTAGGGGCATTTGTTTTTTCTTTTCTTATTTCAGATGTCCGTTCAGAAAACATTGTAATGTATGGCTTACCAAGATATACACCGACCACCAAAAGACCACTAATTAAAGGATATGTGCAAGTGGGTACCAATAATTACTTCTACAATCCATACGAATCTTATCTTTATAGGTCTTTATATATCTTTTTAGGTCTTACACAAGATTTGCTAGAAAGTGATATACTCAAAACCAACTAGCACCACTACACCTGAACTACCGCCTACAACTGAATTGGAAGATATGATATAATCGAAAGGAAAATTAACTGTGAAGTAAGACTTTCTATTTTTATTGTATAGTTAGTTGTATTATATTATTGTATTATAGTAGTAAGTAGTTAATATCAGATTAGGGGGCGTTTTGACATTAAAATCTTCGGTCGTACCTTTTTTGGGGTTGTTCGCGTGCTTTTATTCAGAGCTCAAAGGGGTGGCGTTGTGAAAGAACCTTTCTTACATTTTTCGCGCTTTTCTTCACATTAATTAATAATTACAAATCACAAAATGATTTGTCCTTAAACTTCATAGGCTGGGAACCTATGAAGTTTTTTTCCAGTGTTTACATGGTGGATCTGGGGGGTACATCATGTAAATGCTCTTTTTTTATAAACTTACAATCACCGCTAAAATACTAAAGTACACATTTTATATTGATTTTTTTCTTTACCACGAGAGGTTCTTTCATTTTTAAAAACCGACATTTTTGGGTACATTAGGTCATTTCGCGATATATTCGGGTCAGTTAGGTTTAATTAGTTTGTAACTTAGTTTAAGTGGATTAGGGCTGCACAAATCGATACTTAGTAGTATTTACACTATATCCATTTCCATCTGAAATGTTAGAAACGTAAATATGAATAGAAGTATCTATTTCTGTGGCGACACCACATTAAAAAAAACGCGCCTGGCAACTTCACCTCATGGGTGGCGTGGAAGAAAGTTGCAACCTAATTAAGTACATATAATTATCAAACGTAAAATATATAAATAATTATGTTAATTAATAAACATAAATGTGTCAATATATGTGTGCGCATCACTGATAATTAACTAATATCGAAATATCTTAAAATAAAATTTTTGCAAAATAATCTTTGCTTTTTAATATGTGGTTAATGTTATTTTTAAATTTTTTTCAGAACTTCATAAAAAATTATTAGATGCTTTCAGAAAGAATATTGTCAATAATTATTAATTTTGAATTAGTTGTAAAAATACTATAAATACTACAATGCGAAGAGTTATATGGTTTTTGATAATATATATTTTATCTTTTCGCATTGTAGTATGTATATATTTTTTTCAACCTCTAATTCAAAATCAATAACTATTATTCTTTTTAAATGCATCTAATAATTCTTTAGTACATATGAGATTTAAAACTTTAGTCAGAATTAAAAATAAAATCTGAACTATTTTCGATATACACAAAAAATATTATTTAAAATAATTTTTGTTCAAATAAGTAGAATGTTCTTTGAATCATTCAAATCGGACGCTTAGTTCTGTCAAAAACCGCCAGTTTTTGCACATTTAGCTGGGTATCTCCGAAACGGCTGGGCCTGCCTTTGCCAAAAGCTATTTACCACTTCTCCCCGTCATTACAAATTGAATGCTTTTTAGATCATTCAAATTGGATGCCCCGTTCTCTCAAAAACTCGATTTCTATTTTCTGCACTCTTTGTTCCGTAACTCCGAAATTACTATTTAAAATTACTATAACTTACTCAACGCAAAGTTAAAAATTATATCTAAATAATTTAAAATAACTTGCTTAATTAAAAAAGTAAAATTTTGTCTGTTAAAAAGGGCGCCTGAACGGATAGGGCCTAGGGCGGCAGAAAGCTTAATCCGCCACTGGATTTGAATGATTCAAAAATCTTTCTTCTTGTTTTGACAAAAGAATTGTTTTTGGGATTTCTTTTGTGTATCAAAAATAATTCAGATTTTAATTTTAATTCTGGCTAAAGTTCTAAAGCTCACTTATGTACTTTAAATAAATAATTTTACCTTTGTGATTCAGTTTATATAATTTTTATATAGAAAATGATACAGTATTTATGAGAATCTATATATGAAAATCTATATGAAAACATTTAATATTGTTAGAAGATTTTTGTTACGGTACGGGAAGTACCAGCAATTTGCCTTAAGGCACGATACCATACACAACTAGTTTTATCTCCGATGATGTCATGTAGACGATACGCTTTTTCCAATATGATTTTTTCATAATGTTATAAATATATTTTGAATTATATAAGTATATATAATCTTATTTCCCGTAGGGTAAGTTATAGTAATCGCAAAATAATCGAAAATGAAAATTTGTATATATCTTTACGTTTCAGAAGTTTCTGAATATTTTGGCATACCTTAGAAAAAATGGATGTATGTGTGTGTGTGTGTATGTGTGCGTGGTGCATGTGTGTGTATGTGTGTGCGGATACAAATTTTCGTCAACGATTTCGGGAACACGGATGAAGCGATTTGAGTAATTCAAAAAACATTCGATTCGTATTGATAAGGAGACGTGGTGATTAGTTTTTGGCAAAGGCAGGTCTAGTCGTTTCGAAGATATGGGGCAAAAAGTGCCAAAAACGGTAACTCAGTTTTTAAGAGAACGGAGCGTCCAATTTGAATAATTCAAAAAATATTTTACTTGTATTAACAAGAAAGGCAGGTCTAGCGGTTTCGGATCTCTAATGAAAAAAGGAAAAAAAATGCCATCTGGCATCAAATTATCGGATATTTTATAGAGATTTTAACAATAAATATAAATTTTGTTTATATTCCTATGGGTTCCGTACCAATGCTTATCCGTTAGACGGAGGCGCGGCGCTTACGCGCTTCGATATTTCGTCTCTATCCAGTTAAAGCAGTACTATTGCTTTGAAAAAAAGTTCAGAATTTCCAAAATATTTCAAAATACACTTTTCTTCAAAAAGTCTTTTTTTCAAAAAAAAGTAAGTTTTTGTCAAAAATTTATAGTTTCTCAAAAATCTAATTTTTCAGAGTAAATTTTTTTCAAAAATGTTAATCTTTAAAAGAAAATAATTTTTGGTATGGGAAGTTCCAACAATTTGCCTTAAGGCACGATGCCATGCGCCCCACTAGTATAAATTTTAATATTAAATTAAATTAAAATTTAATATTCTTCATTTATCTATGTATATAAGATGTTTTACCCCAGCATCCCGTATAGTCCTCGGTTATATCAATTTCTGAGCGACTCACGAGAGTGCACTCTTGTTTGTATGTCGTGCATGTCAGTGGATGTGTTTTGTGTGCTGGTGTTATGTGTTCAAATAAATTAAATTTAGTATGTTAAAAAACTGAAAAAAGTGTTTAATTATAATGTTCAATTGAAGTTTAGTTATTAGTTTATTATGTAAGTCAACTTTAACAGCCGGTCTAATATTTAAAACATTGTATACATCGTCTAAAAGTACCATTTGTGTAGTGTGGGTGTCTGCTTTTTCCTGTGGGTTATTTTAGTTATATTTATTTTAGAGGGGTTTGAACTCTTAGGCAAGGATAGTTAGAGATAAGCTTTATTAATTAGTTTAAAAGTTATTTAGGCTTGGTTTAAGTATTCTTAAGAGCATCAGGTATCTCTACTTTTACACCCAAACGCCCACAGCCTTGATAATAGTGACTATTTTAAACTGTGGTTTCATTGAGAACACATTTACTAACATAAGATTTTCTCTGTATTGCACGTTAATCATGCAGATGAGTAATATTTCTTATAGCTCTCCTTTTGGTACATGATGTTATAGATTTCTGATTTATTTTAATAAACATAATAATTTAATTATGTAGAGTAGGTAGAGTATGATATGCCTCTCTACTCTTGTTGTCTTTTACAACTTATATATTAATGCTATTTTAAAGACTCAATACATCAATTATATTTTACTCTTTTTCCAATATAATTCAGGTATATGATGCATTTTGTTCAATATCCCTACCATCATTCTTATTAAATTTAGAGTAACTGTGTTATATCAATTATCATTTATTTTTATTTTATATGCAGAGTAAATTTACTTTAAATATTTCAAGGAGAGTTCTGTGATAAATTTGCTCTAATTCACTATATGATATATTTTTTAATAATTCTTTGTGAGTCAGCTTGTAAATGCCATTTTCATTTTGTATTATATTTTATAAGTTTATTGTAGATTGATTCCAACAGCAATTGATGCTTATCTTAATTGTATCTTTTCTGAAAACTATTTCATTTACTCTTTTCTAACAGTATTTTTCATAATTATTAAATTCTCTAACTACTTGATGCTCATCTTAATTGTGTCATTTCTGAAAATCATTTTATTTACTCTTTTCTAATAATATTTTTCATACAATATTAAATTATCTAACTACTTGATGCTCATCTTAATTGTATCATTTCTGAAAATCATTTTATTTACTCTTTTCTAACAATATTTTTCATAATATATTAAATTATCTAACTACTTGATGCTCATCTTAATTGTATCATTTCTAAAAATCATTTTATTTACTCTTTTCTAACAAAATTTTTCATAAAATATTAAATTCTCTAACTACTCGATGCTCATTTTAATTGTATCATTTCTGAAAATCATTTTATTTACTCTTTTCTAACAATATTTTTCATAATATATTAAATTCTCTAACTACTTGATGCTCATCTTAATTGTATCATTTCTGAAAATCATTTTATTTACTCTTTTCTAACAATATTTTTCATAGTATATTAAATTCTCTTAACTACTTGATGCTCATCTTGATTGTATCACTTTTGAAAATTATTTTATTACTCTTTTCTAACAGTATTTTTCATAATATATTAAATTCGCTAACTACTTGATGCTCATCTTAATTGTATCATTTGTAAAAACTATTTTATTTACTATTTTCTAACAATATTTTTCATAATATATTAAATTCTCTTAACTACTTGATGCTCATCTTAATTGTATCATTTTATTTACTCTTTTCTAACAGTATTTTTCATGATATATTAAATTCTCTAACTACTCGATGCTCATCTTAATTGTATCATTTCTGAAAATCATTTTATTTACTCTTTTCTAACAATATTTTTCATAATATAATAAATTCTCTTAACTACTTGATGCTCATCTTAATTGTATCATTTCTAAAAACCTTTTTATTTATTCTTTACTAACAGTATTTTTCATAATATGTTAAATTCTCTAACTACTCGATGCTCATCTTAATTGTATCATTTCTAAAAACCTTTTATTACTCTATTTCTAACAATATTTTTTATAAATTATTAAATTAATACTTATGGCGCTTTCGATCAGTCTTAATGCATTATTTTTCAATTAAGTGCACTATATATTACAAATACTATTATATATGTTAAATAGTCTTATTTTTCTATTTCAGAATACTAATTATAATTTTATAACATATTTTATTCTAGTGTTTAATTTCTAATATGTTTCTTCAAAAACATTAGCTGCTTTATTCAATTAAATTATAATTATTTATCCTTTTCCATTCAACTCTTACATTTTATAAAGATTCAAAAATTCAGATCAATCGCTGGAATTTTATGATATACTTTATTAATCTTCTGACCAACAATATCTATTTGCCAGTAACCAATTTTTGTACACTTATTTTAAGTAAATAAGTTCAATTATTTTATATATACACTCATTTATGCATTCACATTATGATTATAATTTTTTTCATTACAGAATCATGTTTTCTCAAAGAATATGGAGCCTATTGGCTCTATTTTTATTTATATTAAATGAATCGAATGCCCAAGTAGCAGAAAAACTGACAGCACAAAATCCTTGCATCGCAAAGACAACCTGTAGTGAATGCATACAAACCAAAAGCTGCGCCTGGTGTTATCAACAGGTAAATAGAATTATCTAAATAATCATTATTTACACAAGAATGACATCATGACTACTAAAATGTTGTGTTTGCTATAGAAGTTAAATTTTAATTTGCTATAAAATATATCTATTATTAAGAATGTTTTCATTAACAATTATAGGATTTTGGAGACCGTGCAAGGTGTTTCCAACCTAGTCTAACTTCTTCATCTTCAATATGTGATGAACGATTCACTTGGAACCCTGACAATGAGCAAAGAATGATTTTACAAGAAGCTCTGTCCAAAGCACACACTCATTTAGGTACTGGAGCATCAATAGGTTCCGGTTCCATTTCTGGTAGCTCCATTGGTTCTTCTTCTACGTCGTCTTCCTCATCTAGTTCTTCCTCAAGTTCTTCTTCATGGTCTGGCAGCGGAATGGGTGTTAGTTCAACTCAAGGACAAAAGGAAATTGTTCAAATCAGCCCACAAAAAGTAGGGCTTAAATTAAGAATTAATGAAGTTCATAAACTAAATGTTTATTATGCACAAGCTGAAGATTATCCAGTAGATTTATATTATTTGATGGACTTGTCTAAGTCTATGGAAGATGATAAAGAGAGATTGTCAGCATTGGGAGATTTACTCTCAGAAGCCATGAGAAATATTACTTCAAATTTCCGGTTGGGTTTTGGATCTTTTGTGGATAAAGTTGTGATGCCATATGTGTCAACAGTGCCAAAAAAGTAAGTAAACACTTTAATATTTTTAAATTCAATATTTGAAAGCATATTCTATATAATTCAAATTATCAAAATGGTATCGATTACAAATCATACTGTGGAGCACTTATTGATTTATTGTCAGTATGGTAGATTGATCATAATTCAATTATTATTTTTTTATTAAGAAGAAAATTATTTTTGCTTGATCTAGAAGTAAAAATAATATTTCTATATTAAATAATAATTAATATTATGAAAATGTTGTTTTCAATAGTTTTTATAGCATAGGTTCTATTCTATTCAGTAAATTAATAGAAACTTATGAAATTAGAACATGCACTCATTGTGTGCTAATCTATAATCAAGGTGATAGATTCACTTCGTTGCATTTAAATGGCTTTTACTTTAAATTTAGCCACATATGTTTTGTAGAACCCTGTACTTAAATTAAAAAAAAATATTTGTTATTTAGACTAGCACATATTCCAAAAATAATTGCGCCGAGTTGCGATGTTTAAAAAACCATCCGACTTTTGAAATGTTTATTATTTGCGCGTGTTTATTTTATTTTAAACAGTACTGTATGCACTGTTGAGATTATTATTCGTGGAATTATGCGTCATTGTTGTGTGACATTGTTATCCCATTTTTTAATTCAAATTTATATGAAGATTGACTCACCTTTTTAAGAAGATATCTTTGTTTTATTGCGGGTTTTATGAATTCTTCAAAAATATATTGGAAACATGACTGGGAATTAAGTAAATTAGCAGAGATTCAACTGGTTCAGTAATTATCTTTTAAATTGCATAGTTTTTTAGAGGCAATTAATCCAATCTAAATATAAAAGATCAAGTTAGATTTTGATACTTAAACGAGGTGCGTTTTTGATTTACTTTGTGTCATACAGATTTACAGTTATCTTATATGCAATTTCGCTTCAAGAGTTTTAGGTTATTAATAAGTTGATGAATAGATTATGTTACCCATTATTCACTAAGAAATCAAAATTTAGTTAAACTAAGCTTAGCTCGGGCGTCCATTGGAATCAAAATTGTTTTTAGCACCGTTTGTTTGATTTCATATTAACTTTGAGCGCAGAAACAATTATTCACAATTCCTATATAATATATCTTTAATTAAATAAGTGCATAAATAAAACTTCAATATTTATCTGACCTTAAGGGGTTATATACACCTAATCGGCCGAAAGAAAGCCATTTTTCTAAAAAAAATTCTGTTAAAAACTATTAAATGTATCGAAACAAAAAAATTATACACATATAAAGGCATCTTTTAACTGTATTTTAAAAATAATTGCAGGTAAAAATATTTATTTAAAAAAAAGTAACAGCAGGTGCACTCTCGCGCGCGACTGTCTGAAATTATCTCGCGCTGCTAACCTCCTTTTTTGGCATTTGAATGCGCTTTGAGCCCAAATTTTAATTTATATTGCCTTCATATAATTTAATAATGATTCCATTTCTTCATTAAATATGCCATTCGAACTGGTCGGAAAAGTTTTCAAGAAATTGCTTTAAACACTGTTATAAAATTTAGAATGCAATACTGAACAGTCTAATAACACGTAACTAAGTTTTCCTCGGGTTTTTCAATTTTTTTCGCATGATTACTAAATACTTTCTTTGGTCTCAGCCGTGTTTTTTTTTTCAAATTTGCGTGTAACTTCGAAAATATTTACCAGAATGAGATAACAATTTTTGTGTACAAAATATATGTACATTGAGAAAAGAAAATAAAAAATTTTTTTTTAGAAAATCCTAACAATAAGTGTATATAACCCCTTAAGGCATAGTTTTGTGTTTGATACATTCTATATCTAGTGTTTCTAGTACAGCCATAATTATCAATTATCAATTATAAAAAATGTCCATAGTTTTGTATAAAGTAAGATTTTTCTAAATTGAATGTCTACTGTCTATGAATTTCTGGAGAAGTTCTGGGAAAGTTACAGGAATAAATTTACGATCATAGAGATAATATTTCAGATTAAAAGCTCCGTGTGATAACTGCGAAGCACCTTACGGTTACCGGAATCACATGCCTCTGAGTATGGATACACAACTTTTTTCTGTAAGTCCTTCTCTAAAACTATCCCTTATGTAGAGTGGTGACATTTGAGGGGAAAGCCACACCCATTTTGCATCTTTATATACATATGTTGCAATGTATTATGTATCGTACCGTATCTTATCATCACATATTTGCATGTCTTAAGATAGTTTTTTTTATTTGTTTATTGTTTTGTGCATATAAATTGTAGGTGACAAGATTATTGTTATTTGAATGGACGCTGAAGTATTTGCTATGTTGTATCTATAATTGTTTGGTATATTGATATTACTGAAACACTTTTGGATATGAAGATATTGTAGGTCTAATTGAGTGAAAGTATCCAAAATTAGCTCTTAAGAATAAACAACCAGACGTTTCCGACCACTTGTTATTTATATGTACAATTGATATAGATTTCTGAAATTAATTTAATTGTATTTTTTGGAACTTGTAATATAATCAATTTGGGTACTACATCAAAATGTACAGGACACTCGGTAAATATCACTTCACTCAATAAGTCCGTACGATAACTAAGAAAAACTATTTTTTTTGGCAAAATTCTTTTTTTTTCATTCAATATAGTTTTCTTCGAAGACGATATATCAATTATAGCGAACTTCGAACTTTTAGAAATCATTTTTGTAGTACGATTTGTACTTTGCCACAAAATTCGGCCATCATCTCATCAGTGGCAAAATTTTCTTCAGATAGAGCATCATTTTGAGATCTGAGAACAGGATATGATATCTGGGGAACAGATCTATAGAGATCTATAGTGAGTGTGGAAGCGATTCGGAACCTGATTCATGTTTTTTTGGTCACTGTTTTTACAGATTTGTGACTTGGTTCGTTGTACTGATGGAGCAGCACGATTTTCTTTCTCAAATGGGGCCGTTTTTCCGATTCTGATCTTTAAATGTTCCAATAATGTTAAACAATAGTCACTGTTGATGGTCTGGCTTTTTTCAAGATAGCTGATGAATATCATTTCTTGCGTATCCCAAAAAACTGACGCCATAACCTTATCAGCTGATGTATGCATTTTTTCTCGATATCGTGTCTAATCCACTCGGCTGGCTGTCTATTCGACTCCGGAGTGTAGTGTTGAAGCCAGGTCATATCGATGGTGACATATTGATGCAAAAAGTTTTTATTTCGAATAAACAGCTCCAAATACTCTTACAAATCATCAACTCCTTATAATTTTGGTCAATTTTGTGAGTTTGCGCGGCAACCATTTAGCACAGAAGTTTTTCCTATTCAAATATTTGTGAATGATATGTGACATCACGCACTATTGGTATCTTTAGGGTGTCATTTATCTCAGGGAATTTTACTTTTCGGTTTTCCAAAACGTGGGGAATTTTTCTATATTTTCCGGTATAACCACCTCAATTGGCCTTCCAGAGTGTTCAGCATTGTCAGTGTCTCTATGGCCACGATTAAAAACAGAAAATAACTTCTTCACCATCTACCTTGATTTGGAACAGTCCAGATAACGCTTATTAAGCTTTGGTAGCATTGGTATTTTTACCCATCAAAACTCAATGATAAATCAACTCACAAAATTGCTTTGAATTCATGGTTTCGAAAAACTCGAAAGTAGCGTCACTTGAACTTCTGTAACTTGTAAACTAATCGTTCGATTGTCATGAAATTTTGATATATATCTTTTTAAAAATGTTGCTTCCTAAAAATCATATGGATGATTACATAGCTGCATCATTTATGGGTTATCCTACGGACTTATTGAGTGGCGTTATATAATACGAGCAAGGAGAGATTGCAAGTCCGACCAAAACAAACAAGATACTGAAAAGAGCGTATTTATATTTATTGTATCTCTTTACAGCAAACGAAATAATAAGGAGTCAGTCAAGTTGAAAACATTTGTTTACCCCAGGCAGAATAATGGCATGGATTACTTACATTATCTCCATGTTAATAAATTTCAGTTGTAAATTTGAGAGTCTTGCGAAGCAGTAAACCTATTGCACTAACTTCAAAATTAAATAGAAATATTCACAAATAAAAACTTGTTTCTAAGAAGTTATGCAATTGTAATATTTCTTTGTTATTATAAATTGAAATGTTATTTTCCCAAATTAGTAACAATATTTCTATATTTAGCCTTATAGAGCCTTGTCCTCACTGTGCAGCCCCATATGGTTTTCGCAACGTAATGCAATTGAGTCGAGATACGTACCGGTTCGCCGTAAGTTAAAAATGAGATGCCACTCACAAAAAAGCAGTAATAATTAAACTTCGAAACTTTTCATATATTACTTTTTGAATGCATTTTAAGATGATTGAAAAATAGTTTATTTTTGACTGTTTAATTAGTTACCTTGCACATATGCAACGTTCCCAGTTGTTCTAGTTTTATCGCGGTCAGAAATAATCCAAAATAGCCTACGGAACAATTATGGAATTCAGGTCGAAAATGTTGTATGAGATTGTTTTAACTGCTTTTCCATTTAAATTACCTGAAATGTTAGATAATTTTATCCGGGATACAATCAATTTTATTCTTCTTTAATTATATAATTAAATAAATTTAACATGTATATTGAGTTTGTTTTAGTAGTCAATTTATTTATTTTAATTTATTATCTAAAACGCTTTTGATGTTGTTTATCTTATCATATGAATGTTTAACTTATTTTTAATTATTGCGGCCTAATTATTATTAATTATTAAAATGCATATTCAATAAGTAAATGAATGGTTTCATTGAATTAACAGTGGCACATCTAGCCTGACCTAATAACGTTAATACAATTTTCGCACATTTCTATTTGCTAAATAACGCATTAAAACCGTTAGTTTGCCCTTTTGCTCTTTTAATAATCTCCATACTTTTTTAAACCCTTTAAATTAATTTTTATAAATAATCCTAGTAAAAATATTAAGCTTCTTTGTACATATTGGGCTTATAATCAGGTGACAAATAAATAAATTATTGATAAAGAAGTATCAATTTTTCTATGAAAATGCCTCAATAATAACAATTTTATTAAGTGTTGTTTTTTGTTAATTTTTCCATCTGTTTTTGCATCAGTGCACGTTCTGTTGATTTGATTTGTACTTCTCTGAAACCAATAAACAAAGAAGCCCGATAAATCTCCATCTACTAGTTTTATAAAACTATTTATTAATAAGCGATTTCTAATATAGTACCCTAATTAATATGTAATTTCATCACATTTATTTTCAGGTGTTTCATATCACAAATATTAGCTTTGAATATTATACATGGTATTACTGCATCTTATTATTCGATCTGCATGCTCTAGCAGAATAGTAAAATTGTAATTTTAGATTGTATATTAATTCCATGCTAATTCTGTTATCAAATACTTAGGTTTTATAGCATTATGTGCATAGAATTTATGTATGTAATAAATAATTTTATTAACACAAACATATTACTAATTAAGCATGCTTTAATAATTAAGTTCTTACTAATTAGTCAGTTAACAAAATCTTGTGATTTAATAAGAGCTTTTAGGTGTAGAGTATCATTTTGATCAATGATTAACAATTCGTTTTGACTATTGTTCTAACTCCTTAAAATATCCGATTACTAACAAAAACTGTATATAATTAAACATTGCATTTGCACATAAAATTATCATATTGATTCTCTAAACGTATAAATACTCACGATGAATCAAATATGATACTTAGAAATGAAATTAAATTATATAGAGATTTTGCATGATGGTTGTATAAATTTCGATAGAGATATTATTCTAACTTATTTGAGTCAGCACAATGGGACGTCATAATTAAGACGTAAAATAGAAATTTCATTAGTTTTTTATATGATTGAAAATTTAAAATTTTTATATGATTTCAATTGACTTCTCATTGTTGCATTCAAACATAATTAATTCTATTATGTAGAAGATGGGCGTTTTCCTAATTTTCTTTTATTATTGATTGATATTTTATCAAATACAGAATTTATGTTAAAATATTAACAGTATTCAAATTTTACTATTATATATCAGTAACTATTATTTTTTTTCAATGTATATCTTTTTCGAAAATTCTCACGCCTATTCTCTACTGTGCAGTTTTTGTTGTCTAATATAATTATTTCAATATCATATTGAAACATAGGGCGAAGTACGAAACGCTTCAGTTTCTGGTAACCTGGATGCACCAGAAGGCGGTTTTGATGCCATCATGCAGGCGGTGGTTTGCCGTGAACGTATAGGTTGGCGCGAGAAAGCCAGGAGATTGCTGGTTTTCTCCACAGATGCTGGATTTCACTATGCTGGTGATGGAAAAGTAAATCTTAAATATATTTAGTTCATTAGTAATTACTTTCAAATCATTAATAAATATATATTTTCTAGCTTGGTGGTATAATTACACCAAACGATGGCGAATGCCATATGGACGCCAACGGCATGTACTCATATTCTAGTCTTCAAGATTATCCCAGTATCTCACAAGTGAATCAAAAAGTCAAACAAAATGCTATAAACGTAATTTTTGCTGTAACTGAAAGTCAAGTTAATGTCTACAAAAAATTTGAGCAGTCACATCGAAGGATCCTCAACTGGTGAACTTTCGAATGATTCTTCTAATGTTGTTGATTTAGTTAAAGACCAATATAGCAAAATTTCATCTTCTGTGGAAATGAAGGATAATGCCACAAGTGCAGTCAAAATCAAATACCATTCTCATTGTTTATCACCTGGAGCTGGGTTAGGACAGGAGACCAACAAATGTGATGGTTTGAAGGTAAATTTTGGTTAACGATATTGATTTTACTGAATCATATTGGAGAGAAATGTATACTAACATTGTAATTTTCTTTGATTTATATTTGTATCTCAAATGATTTATTTGATATGAAATAATATGCTATTGTATTTGATTACTGTAAAAATGGTTATA